TAATTTGGGGGGGCTTCTTTGGGACACACCGGGGTGATCGCCGCCGGCGGTATACCCTGGGGGGGGGGCACTTGAGGGGCGCAGCCGCCATTGGCCGGGGCCAACATTTGATAATGGAGGGGGGGGGGGGGACTCGGCGTGACTCGGATGGAGCGGCGGCGAAACACGGCCGGTCGGGGTCTGGGGCGGCAGTTGTAGGCAGCTGCGCCTTCCGGAGGGAAGCGCCGAGGCGCAGCAGCGCCGCCGCCCACAGCGCCTGTCTGGCCGTCGGCCGTCCGTCGCACACGTGGCGCAGCAGCGTCCTGCCGCCGCCGAGGTCGTCGTCGACGGCGCAGCCGGCCGACTGCAAGGCGAGGCGCAGCTGCGCCAGGAAGGCGGCGGCGTCACCAGACACCTCGGCCGCCTGCAGCGCGGCGAGGACGTACTCCTTGTAACGCGGCGCGCGCACACTGTACTGCTGCGTCTCCTCAGCACTGAACGCCTCGAGCAGGTCGAGGCCGGAGATGGCGGGCGCGGGTGGCGGCGCTGGTGGCGGCGCGGGCGGCGGTACGGGCGGCGCGGACGGCAGCGCAATGGGCGCAAGCAGTTTGCGTGCACAGCATGGCGCGCTGGCCTCCGCCTCGGTCGCCTCGGTCTCGGCAGTGGGTCTGACCGTCTCATCGGCGGGCGGCGTCTCGACTGCGCTCGCGTCCACGCCGAGAAAGGAGTAGAGCTGGCTGTGATCGCGGCTGATTATGAGGGCTTGGCGGAGGTAGCCCTGCAGGAGTGCGGCGCGCTTCTGCTTGATGCGCTCGCCGTGAAAGAGGCGCTTCCTGTCGGGGAACCCGAGGCCCGGCAATGCGACCGATCGGTGCAGAAAGAGCCACGCCGAGAAGCGGCGCGACACTACTACGGAAGGGCTGCCGCGATCGAGAAGGGTCTCAACTCGGTACCGAGTGTGGCCGAGGTTGTCGTCGTGGCCGGTCACTAGCACGGAGGTGATTGTAGCGGGCGCCATCCACGAGTAGTGGCTTTCGTGCAAAGGCTCTGCTCGTGCCAGTGGCCAGCCGCGCCGGGAGGCGCCTCTTAGGGGCACGGGATGCCTTACAGGCTCGACGCGAAGCCGTTATCCCGCATGACGCGCTCACGATTTTCTTTTTTTTAGTATGCCTTCCAGAGACACCTCACATGACCCCACACGGTCTAGTCCGGCCTCGCGGTCGGCGGAGATTGCTAGAGGACGAGCAAGCCTGCTCTAGCCTCACGCGTTCTCCCCTGTCGTCTGTTGTGTTGTTGTGCCCTTTTTGTTCTCTTGGCACCTTGGAGTGCTGGGTGGGGGGGGCGACAGGGAGGATGTGGCCTTGAGTTATGTGTACGCCAACTCAGGGTGTGTGGCAGCCAGCTGGCTGTGCGTCTTGTGAGCTTGTTTGTGTCTGTGTGTCGTTCGTGCGTGTCGTCATCATCTGTCCCGCGTCCACCCATACCGCGTTGGTGTCCAGTCGGAGCCCGACTGTTGATGTTCATCTTTCTACATACATACATCCTAATAATAATTCAGAGGCATGGTCACTTGCTGTAGCCACACACTTCGGGCGACGGACGGATGAAGAAAAACTGGCGTAAGATAGAAAGCTGCAGGAAAGTGCGTTCCGAACCCTAGGGTGGCGAGCAGTGGCGTACGGCGTCCTCGAAGGACCGACACGATTTGGGAGGCGCGTCCCGGGAGACGCACAGGTGGACTGCCGGGACCGGTATAGGACAGGGCGCGCCACTCTCCTCTCTCCTCTCGTGGCGCTGCGGAGTGTGCGCGGCGAGAGGTCGAGAGACTGGTCGATGTAAAGTATAGTTACCGTTCGGTGTGAGAACACGGGAGTCGGGACGGGCGTAACCCGCCGCTTGTATGCTAGGAAAAGAACAAGGCACTTTGTGCTGGCAGCGCAAACGCCTGGCAAATCACGCGACGTGTGCACTTCAAGTGGCCCGGCCTTTTGGTGCAACATGTGCACATGCACATGTGCATGTGCATGTGAAGGGACACACCTTCGCAACGTAAAGCGAAGCACTTGCGGCACTCAAGCCCTGTCCCTGAGCTTGGCGAGCCGCTTGCGCAGCGTGATCGCCGGGATGCTCGTCGGCTTGATCGGCAGTGCGTCGACGAACGCGTCCTCTGCCTCTGCCTCGCAGATGAGGACGACCGCGGTCACCTCGTTCTCCACGCACCATGCGAGCGCCGCCCGCTGCACCGCGTCAGAGAGGTGCTCGAGCAGCGCCGACAGGCCGAGGACGCCCGCCAGGTCGATCGTGCTCGCCGCAGTAGCGGCAGCGCTGGTGCTCGGCTGGGCGTCGGCCTTCGCGCGCTTGCCGTCCGCGGGCGACTCCGCCTCCAGGTCGATGGCGCGCTTGCGCAGCTCCGCGTCCTTCTCCTGCCGCGAGCGCTCGCCGACCAGCTGCACCTCGTCGTCGTCCGCTGGCGTGAGAGCGCATTGGAGAGCAGGCGCAGCGCGCCACTGCTTGCTGTCGTCGTCCCACGCCTCCCACCAGCCTGCCTCGACGCTGGCTGGATCCAGCGAGCCGTCTTGTGCGCCGATGTACCCACGCTGCTTTCCGAGGTCCGCGAGGGCGCCGACCCACCAGAACGCGCCAGCGTGCCACAGCAGCGTGCCGTCATCACCAGCGTGCACGTACGACACATGCTCGTTCACGAGCTCCGCACGCTTCTGGAAGACGCCCTGATATTGACGCTGGAGGCCGTTCGGCGTCGCACCGCTCAGTGTGATGGTCGGCGCTGCGTCGCTGCTGATCTGGGCTGGGGTGCGTGCCTGGCAGCGCAGGCCAGGCGCAGCGCGCCACTGCTTGCTGTCGTCGTCCCACGCCTCCCAGCCTGCCTCGACGCTGGCTGGATCCAGCGAGCCGTCTTGTGCGCGGATGTACCCACGCTGCTCGCCGAGGTACGCGAGGGTGCCGACCCACCAGAACGCGCCAGCGTGCCACAGCAGCGTGCCGTCATCACCAGCGTGCACGTACGACACATGCTCGTTCACGAGCTCCGCACGCTTCTGGAAGATGCCCTGATATTGACGCTGGAGGCCGTTCGGCGTCGCACCGCTCAGTGTGATGGTCGGCGCTGCGTCGCTGCTGATCTGGGCTGGGGTGCGTGCCTGGCAGCGCAGGCCAGGCGCAGCGCGCCACTGCTTGCTGTCGTCGTCCCACGCCTCCCAGCCTGCCTCGACGCTGGCTGGATCCAGCGAGCCGTCTTGTGCGCAGATGTACCCACGCTGCTCGCCGAGGTACTTGAGCTGGCCGACCCACCAGAACGCGCCAGCGTGCCACAGCAGCGTGCCATCATCACCAGCGTGCACGTACGACACATGCTCGTTCACGAGCTCCGCACGCTTCTGGAAGATGCCCTGATGCCGACGCTGGAGACCGTTCGGCGTCGCACCGCTCAGTGTGATGGTCGGCGCTGCGTCGCTGCCCGACTGCGAGCTGCGTGTTCGCCGTCGACCTGCTGCGCGACGCTCCTCGCCCGCTCCCGCCATCCGTGAAGGGTGTCGTACAAAAGTGCCCAGCAACGCGGGAAGAGGACAGCCCACTACTTCTCTTCCACCTGGTGGTGCGATGGGCTCCCTCCCGCTGTCAGCGCGCTGTCAGCCCTCTGTAGCATCAGGTGCAAAGGAAAGAGTGGGCTGGGAAGAGGACCGCCGAAGCGGCGTGGCGTGGAGCGGTTGAGCGTCCCTCCGGGGGCCCCTCTGCGCCGGGGAGGCGTTGTTGGAGGCTAGCAACCTCCACTAATTCACTGCGCTGAAATCGCCAGTCCCGCCCGTGCCGCCCGGAGTAATTTCTTTTCGATGCCTAGTGTTGTGCACTTGGAGCACTTGGTTGGGAGAGATTTCTTCTCTCTTGGTTGGCAGTCGGTAACCTCACACCCAGGGCGGATGATCGGGCTGGTGCCGCAAATTCATCTCCAGTGGTGTACCTGTGTTAGTGCCAATGCGCGCCAGTCCCGTGCCCAGTGTTGTGCGAGGGAGTCGCGTGGTAAAATTCTTTTGAGCTAGACTTCGTTGTCGATGGCGACTCTGAAAAGCGCGCCGCGCTGGAAGTAGGTGTGCCCCCGGTGTGCCCCCGGGTGCCCTCTGGATACATACATGTTCCCTCTCCTCCCTCGCTTCGCCCTCCTCGCGTTGGCCATGTGCCGCACCGCGAGCGCGCATCGGCCTTCGGGCGTACACCACAGCGGCGCGGCCTACGAGTGGATCGGCGTATTTGCCACGAATGCCTTGTCGCACACCTGGTCGGCGCAGAAGGTCGGCGGGGCTTACGCCGACCCGGCGATGAAGCTGGTGCTTATTGAGACCGCTTTGCCAACCGAGGCGAGCATGGAAAAGCTGCAGGACTTGGCGTCGGACCTGATGAAAGGCGAGTGTCCCAACCGTCTCGCCGGCTACGCCCTGCGTGGGACAACAGCGGGCGTGTGCTACACCCTCCAGTTCGACGCCGGCCTCGACGACTCGCTCTTCACCATCGACACGACCGGCGTCGCCGGCCTCGTCATTGCCGGCGAGCACGGGCCGACCGAGTTTGAGCGTGACCGCCACTATCTCTACGACTCGTCCGGCACCGACATCGAGCCGATCGCCGAGGGGGGCGACGCGGACCACGACATCTCCTTTGGCTCTCACTCCTTCAACATGGCGCTGCTCCTCTCCCTCTTCGCCGGTCTCGCGACGGCAGTCGGCGGCCTCGTCGTCTACCTGCCCGAGTCGCTCCATGGCGGGCGTGAGGCGACGCTTGCCTGTGCCCTGGCAGACACAGACGCGCAGAGGTGCGTACTGCCAGGCGCGAAGTGCGACCAGAAATGAGGACGCAGCACTCGTAGGCCGCGTCGGGCGGCGTCATGCTCTACATCTCGTTCGTCGACATCTTTGCGGAGGCGCAACGAGTTATAGCCGAGAGGCAGCCGAGAGGCAGAGCCGAGAGGCCGCCGAGAGGCAGAGCCGAGAGGCCGCCGAGAGGCAGAGCCGAGAGGCAGCTGAGAGGCAGAGCCGAGAGGCAGCCGAGAGGCAGAGCCGAGAGGCAGCTGAGAGGCAGAGCCGAGAGGCCGCCGAGAGGCACCTCGGCACAGGAGGCTAGCATCCCAAGCCGTTGGGCTTCACATTCGCCCCGCGTTGAGCTCTCTAGAGGTAGTGGTAGTAGCCAACATATTGGCGTCGCGTGCCATGCGAGCTCCTCCTCAGAGAGAGTTGGCGCGCTGCACTCCCACACTCCCACACTGCTGCACCATACCACTGCTTAGGCGCAAGAGGCAATCGAGGACGCGGGCTACGAGCGCGGCGAGGCGCACTCCCTGACGGCGCTCTCCTTCTTCCTCGGCGTCGCCCTCTGCGTCGCCCTGGACAAACTTGTCCACCACCTGTACCATCGCGCCGGGGTGACGATACTAGGGACCTGCTAGCCATCGCTCATATAGCTCTCTCTCTCTCTCTCTCTCTCTCTCTCTCTCTCTCTCTCTCTCTCCTCCTCCTCCACCTCCTCCTGCATCACACACACACACACACACACACACACACACACACACACACACACACACACACACACACACACACACACACACACACACACACACACACGTCCGCGCAAGGGCCTCCCGCGCCACCTGACCCTCTTCTCGCAGCCCCGTCTGCCCGTACGCCAACAGGCGGTGGAGCTCACCGAGCACCTCCCCTCCCTGCAAGAGCGGCCTATGCACCAACTGCAGCCAGACGAGGGCGGCGGCGCCGCCGCGCCGGCCGCGCCGGCCGCGCCGGCCGCGCCGCCCTCCACCGCCTCCGCCGCTGAGAAGGCTCGGCTCGGCAAGATGGGCGCGCTGACGTCGGTTGCCATCGCGCTGCACAACTTCCCTGAGGGGCTGGCGGTCTTCATGGGCACCCTCGCCGACCCGTCCCTCGGCACCGCCATCGCCATCGCGGTGGCACTGCACAACATGCCCGAGGGCGTGTGCGTCGCGGTGCCAATCTACCACTCCAGCGGCTCCAAGGCGCGCGGCTTCGTGTACGCGCTGCTCTCGGGGCTGACCGAGCCGATCGGCGGGCTGCTCGGCTATGCCGTCCTCGAGCCCTTCTTCACCGACCTCGTGTTCGGCGTCCTCTTCGCGCTCGTCGGCGGCATCATGGTCAGAGAGGGGGGGGGGGGGGGGGGGGGGCTCCCCCCTCTGCCGCCATGAACCCCTCCCCAAAGCCCTTGGGGAGGGGGGGGGGGGGGGTATTCTAGGGGGGCCCCAGGGGGGGGCCTTTTCGAGGGGGGGCGGGCCCCCCCCCCCCCCCCAAGGGGCACCCCCCGATTTCCCTTTTTCGGGCCACCGGCCCAGGGTTTCCCCTCTCCCTCTCTCTACCCTTCCCCCCTCTCCCGCCCCAGGTCTTCATCGTGCTGCACGAGCTGCTACCCACCGCCCACCGCTACCTGCCGGACCGGTCGGGCAAGGTGACGGCGTATACATTCGCCGGCATGGCCTTCATGGCCCTCTCCATCGTCCTCCTCGAGCTGGGCGAGGGGCACGAGCACTAGCTCGAGTTCTCTCTCGCCCACTCTCTCTCTGGTGTCTCTACTCCGGAAAAAACCGTGCGCGGACGAGCGAACAAAGCACAGCTCGGTTCAGATGTCCCCCCGTAGTTAGGGTTTTTTTTCGGATTCCGCATTCGGCACTGTGTGAATTAATCGAGAAAAGAAATCGGTCCGGCCACCGGCGTACTTTAAACCGCGGTCTGCGCACCGCGCGCTGTGGCGAAGGTAGTCAGCATTAGAGGAGCGCGCTGCCATTGCAGAGCTCTCGCTAAACGAGAGGCACGGTGGTACAAGACAGGCGCGTCCATGATAAATAAGATGGAGGTGTTGAGTGAGTCCTCGTGTGAGTGGCTTCGAGAAACAGTGGCCTTTCACGAGTTGGGGCCCCCACCCCATGATTCGCATGAGTGGCGACCGGCACGCCGACTCTTTACACGCTACAAAGAGGCACGCCCCTTGCCCACCAGCACCACCTTGTGTGTGGAGAAGTTTACCTTACCTTACTGACCTTAGTTAGGCGACGGACTGCCACCGCATGAAGACGCCAGTCACTACCAGCATTCCCTGCCTGCCTCCTGCATCACCTTTGCCTCCTGCTTTTCCTGCCTGTCCTGGCTGCGTGTCGCCCTGCACCTTGGGCCTGGCCTGCACCTTCCCTTTTCCTGCTTTCTTCATCTCCTTGGTTTCCATCCGTGCCTGCTTCTTCGAATCATCTCCCTACTGAAGACGGACCGCCCCATGCCCCATCAGCCATCTTGCATCTACGAGCGCGTGAGATACGTTCGTTTTGTGCACAGTCGCGAGAGAGACCACACTCCACACACACACACACCACACACCACACACACACACACGCAACGAAGCTCTCTCTTCCATGTTCCCGTTTGTTTCTCCTCGATCTATTTTTCATTTTCTTTTCTCTATTTTCCCCTTTTCTTCACGCTTTTCTTTGTTCCCTGTTTTTGGTACAAATTTCCAGGATGAGAGCCGGCCGCGCGCAAAGATAGCAATTCCGCTGACTGTAACGGGGACGCACGATCGATTAGTTCTGGCAAGTTTTGCCGCGTTGAAGCCCGGCTCGCCGGGCGAGGGTCGAACAGACTTTGATACCCATCTCTAGATGATCCTCCTCTTGCTGGGGGCCAGCTCGCGCTGCAGCTCTTCGCATCCGGCATGGCCCACCCTCGCGTTGCCGCGCTTCTCGTCGCACTGCCCTACGTGGCTGCCAGCCCGCCGCTATCGCCGCCGGCAACGCCCCAGAAGCAATGCTTCCAATGGTGCCACAACAAGCCGAGCGAAGGCATTCCCTGGGAGAGGCTCTGTCACTGGGTGTCCTGTGGGGCATGCATAGAGTGCTCTGTTCGTCCCTGCGGCGTGGAAAGCTGCACCGATGATGTCCTCGAGACGCTCGCTCAAGATCTGACCGACGGCTATACGGACTTCTCGTCGTGCGCATCTCGCATCAACTGGGTCGAGCGCAACCGCTTCAAGAGTGAGAAGGAGGCGTGTAAAAAGGTCGCGGAGGAATTTCCAGACGAGTGTGGCGCCTGCCACCCCTTCCAGTCGCCGCTCCCGCCGCCGCCGCCGCTCCCGCCCACGCCGCCATCACCTGCCCCTCCGCTGCCCTCGCCGCTCCCTCCCGCCCCGCCGCCGCCCTCGCCTCCGCCGCCGTCCGGCCTGCCGCCGCTCTCCCCCTCGCCTCCAGCCGCTCCGCCGCCACTGCCGCCGCCCTCGCCTCTCCCGCCGAGCCCGCCGCTATCGCCGCCGGCAACGCCCCCGAAGCAATGCTTCCCATGGTGCCACAACAAGCCGAGCGAAGGCATTCCCTGGGAGAGGCTCTGTCGCTGGGTGTCCTGTGGGGCATGCATAGAGTGCTCTGTTCCTCGCGATCCTCCGTGGTGCCTTCTTCACACACCGGAAAGGTGCGCTGCTGACCCAGAGGTGCGTCAGGTCTGCTGGGTCCTGTGCACCGTGCCACCCTCGCCGCCCTCGCTGCCGCCCAGCCCGCCGCCTCCATCTCCGCCCCCGCCGTCGCTGCCTCCGAGCCCGCCATCCTCGCCCGTGCCCTCACCGCCGCTGCCCTCGCCCCCGCCACTGTCACCGCCGCCCTCACCGCCACCGTCTGTGCTGCCGCCGTTGGCACCGCCGCCGACAGACGCCGAGTACTGTGCCGATCTCGACGACTTGGCGCGCGAATGCGCGGACAAGAACGTCCTTAATGACTGCCCGGTCTCCTGCGCCCTGCAGCCGCCGTCTCTGCCTCCGTCGGCCCCACCCTTTGTGGACAAGGAATGGTGCTTCGAGTACGGCACGCCGTATTTGTGTGCGCTATACAGGTACGTGCAGCAGAACTGCCCGCTGTCCTGCGCGCAGAACTCGACGATACTGCTGCCGCCGCTGCCGCAGCCGCCATCACCGGCAGCACCTGCCCCTCCAACCCCCACACCGCCGCTGCCCACATCGCCGCCACCCATGCCCCCGCCACCTGCCCCTCCGCCGCCCACGCCGCCGCCGCCCTCGCTCTCGCCCTCGCCGCCGCCGCCCTCGCCGCCGCCACCTGCCCCTCCGCCCTCGCTTTCGCCCTCGCCGCCGCCGCCCACGCCCACGCCACCTGCCCCGCCGCCGCCCACGCCGCCGCCGCCCTCGCTCTCGCCGTCGCCACCGCCGCCCTCGCCGCCGCCGCCTGCCCCTCCGCCGCCAACGCCGCCGCCGCCCTCCGGCTCGCCCACGCCACTGCTGCCCACGCCGCCGTCGCCCTCGCTCTCGCCCTCGCTCTCGCCCTCGCCCCGGCCGCCCTCTCACTCTCCGCCCCTGCCGCCGCCCTCGCCGCCGCCCTCGCCGCCCCCTCCCGCCCCGCCGCCTCCCTCGCCTCCGCCGCCGTCCGGCCTGCCGCCACTCTCGCCCTCGCCTCCAGCCGCTCCGCCGCCGTCGTCCCCGCCGCCTCCGTCGCCGCCGCCCCCAGCGCCCTCACCACTGCCTCCTCTTCAATCGCCAACGCCGCCCTTGCCCTCGCCGCTGCCCCGCCTGCCGCCGCCCTCACAACCGTTGGTGGGCTGCGGCGTGACGCTGCTGATGAGCATCGACGACTCGTGCACGGCTTCGTCTGAGACGTCGCGTGATGGTGTTGCGACGCCATACAACAACAACCTTGGGGGGCTGGGCCCGGAGCAGAGCCAACCTAACGAGATCCGCTTTCGGCACACGGCCACGTACCAGGGCGCCGACCTCGACCTCGTGGTGACCGTTGCGAGCGGAAGCACATATACCCCGAGATTCATAGACAGGAACGGTTGTCAGGGCAGGTTCGGCAACCTCAACCTCAAGGTTGGGACTGATGTTGAGGTCAAGTTCGAACTCCAGGACAGCGACTCGCTGATGCCGGTCGCTCCAACGTCCTTCTACTTCATCATCTTCGATTTGGATGGGTATCGCAATGGTCACAGAAGGCCTGCCCGATACCAGGAGAGGGTCTCCATCGGCGAGGACCAGTTCGAAACGTATGAGTTAGCGCCCGACTCTTACGTGAACGCCTCCTCGTCGCAAGGAATTCTCACTTTTGCGGCGACTGAAACCGGCATTCCGACCCCTTGGAACCCGGACAAGCTCGACGAGACGCAGCAGAAAGCGTCGATCAAGTTCACGTTTGTGCAGACATCTTCATTCACGATACGATATGCCAGTGGCGACGGGACGGTCCTTGAAGGTTCTCGGAACTTTTTGTTTGCGGGGTCGAGTAACTTGGGCGAGACATGCCCTCCTTCACCCATTCCGCAACCGTCGCCAAATGCGCCACCCGGTCGGCCCATTCCTGCGCGGAGCTCACAGCCCGCGCAACCCCCGTTACCGCCGCCAGAGCCCCTGTCGCCACCGCTGCAGCCGCCACCATCGCCTCAGCAGCCCTTCGTGCCCCCGCCTCAGCCCTCCCACCCGCTGCCCCTGCCGCCACCCTCGCCGCCGCCGCCCTCGCCGCCCCCTCCCGCCCTGCTGCCGCCCTCGCCTCCGCCGCCGTCCGGCCTACGGCCGCTCTCGCCCTAGGGGGGGACGCGGCGCGTGCTGCCTGGCGAACCAGCTCTCGTCGCGGAGGACGTCACCATCGCCGTGAGAAGGACCGCCAACATCGAGGTGCTGTACGTGCGCACAGGCGGCTGGGCCGTCAATGCAACCGCGCGGTTCATCCAGCGCTCGGCGACCACCCGGAAGAAGCAGGTTGACCTCTCGTTCAAGCCGCTGCGAGATCCACTCGAGCCTAACCCCGTTACCGGCGAGGTTGTGGCTCCGCACGGACTGGTCGGCCAGTCCTTCGACGGCGACGGCATCGCGGTGAGCGGTAAGAAGGATCAATGTGCGCCCACCCACTGCCGCAGCACAGCGCCCCTAGAAGGCCCGCGGTGACGCCCGACCACTCCCCCGCCGCAGACCGCGAGCTGTGGTGGCGCCAGACGTCCTTCAAGGCCAAGGAGATCACGACCGAAGCGCAAGCGGAGGGCGCTATCGAGGGCTCTGGCGACGATTACAGGGTGGCGGACCTTTTCGGCACCGAGTTCAGATACAGCCGCTTCGCCGCCCGCAAGGCAGCGCCACGCAATATCTCGTCACTCTCGGGCGCGAAGCGCGTAGTGGCAAAACTGGGAAGCACCGCGTGGCAGAACAGTGAGGCGGGCGCATTTGCCGACAACTCTTGGGAGGCGGGACGTGGCAGCACGTACGCAGCTGGGACTTTTGGGACGAAGACGAAGGACCACTTATAGCGCTACCTAGCACCTTGTCTGCCAGCGACTCTTGTACATAGTACTTTTAGCTTACTGGGAGAAAGGGGAGAGGGAGGTGTGATCTCTAGTCTCTCTCTCTCTCTCTCTCTCTCTCTCTCTCTCTCTCTCTCTCTCTCTCTCTCTCTCTCTCTCTCTCTCTCTCTCTCTCTCTCTCCCTCTCCCTCTCTCTTAGTCTCTCTCGTACGTAACGTACGTATGTAGCCGCGCCGTTGGCGCATGTATGTTTACTCGACATGGCTGGACGTGACGCGCAACACACACACACACACACACACACACACACACACACACACACACACACACACACACACACACACACACACACACACCGTTTTGCGCCCCGTGAGGGCAATATTAAGAAGGCTGGTGGCTGCGGCAAAAGGGCTTGCCCCAGATCTGTCGATCACTCGCAGAGACAGCGTCGGGCTCGATGACGTGCAGAGGGACGAGCGAGACGGCCCGGATACACCACCTTATTTTCGCACCGCGTTTTTGGTGGTCTCTGTATAACTCTCATCGGTTCTACCATTCTATAGTGTCCTTACCGCCCACGCACCCGACGGTGCGTGGAGCACTATTCTATTCGATCCACCTCGCACCTGCCGACGAAACACGAAACGCCCGCGATCCCTCCTCGTGTCAGTGGGTCTCAGAGCCCCGGCGCCCACTCCTCGATCTTCTTAGCAGCTGGTTCGACAGGTCCTCGCCGTGGCCCAGCATGCCCCAACTTCCATTGCCCCAGCTCCAGACGGCGCCGTCGGCGGTGAGGGCGAGGCCATGCCCGCCTCCAGCCGACACAGCGACGACGCGCTGGCCAGCAAAGGCCTCGACCTTCTTGGGCAGCAGCTGGTTCTGCTGGTCGCCGTGGCCCAACTGGCCCAACGCTCCCCAGCCCCAGCTCCAGAGAGCGCCGTCAGCGGTGAGGGCGATGCTGTGCTGGCGTCCAGCCGACACAGCGACGACGGGCTGCTCCGCCAAGGCCTCGATCTTCTTGGGCAGCAGCTGACGCTGCTGGTCGCCGTGGCCCAACTGGCCGTCGTCTCCACGGCCCCAGCTCCAGACAGCGCCGTCGGCGGTGAGGGCGATGCTGTGGAATGCTCCAGCGGACACAGCAACGACGCGCTGGCCAGCAAAGGCCTCGACCTTCTTCGGCAGCAGCTGGTTCTGCCTGTCGCCGTGGCCCAGCTCGCCCCAGCCTCCATGGCCCAGGCTCCAGACAGCGTCGTCGGCGGTGAGGGCGAGGCTGTGCGCGGCTCCAGCCGACGCAGCGACGACGCGCTGGTCAGCAAAGGCCTCGATCTTCTTTGGCTGCGACTCCTCCAGCTCGTCGCCGTGGCCTAACTGGCCAGAGCCTCCATTGCCCCAACTCCAGATGGAACCGTCGGCGGTGAGGGCCAGAATGTGGAATGTTCCAGCCGAGACGCTCACGGCGCGCTCGCCGCCCAGCGTCGACGGGAGACGGGTCGGCGTGTTGAGCCGAGTCACGCCCTCGCCGTGACCGAGTAGCTCTGGGCGGAACCACGGCGCAGAGCCGCACGACGAGAGCCGCCCCTCGCCGTCGATGAAGAGGCTGTGATAGGAGCCTGCCGCTGCCCTCGCCGGCGGGTTGGACTCGCGCAGCAGAGCCGAATAGCACAGCCACCGCACAGCACAGCTCTCGCCCTCGGGCTGCGCTGGCAGCTCGAAGCCGCGCTCTTGCGCCCACAAGCGGATGCCCTGCTCCGCGAGCGAGTGAAAGAGCAGCGAGACGGCCGCGACGCGAGCGATGTCGACGGGGCTGTCGAAGCGGGAGAGGGCGCGCTCGAGGAGCTCCCTGGGGAGGTTGAGCAGGCGGGCGGGCGGCGGCGTGGCTGGCGAGGGCGCGGCGGTGGCGGCGGAGGCGAGGCGGCGCGAGCGGCGGCGCGGCGGGGTGGACATCGCGAGAAAAAGAAATTTTTTTTATTACGAAGGCGAATGGGTAGGCCAAAATAAAAGACAAAGAAAAAAGAGCAAAAAAGAAACTTAGATTTGCAGATGCATGCGCAACCCAACGGCCCGCACGAGCTCTGCGGCAAGCTGCCCGGCGCCAACATCCTTGACGCCACGCCTGAAAACATCAACGACTATTGCTGCGGCTCGTGGGACTTGGTCGTCCGGGACGTCGAGGCAACGCTCCCAGCGGCGCTCGCGTGCGAGGTGCTGGCGGAGCTGGCGAGACAGCGGGTCCCAGAGGCTTTTGCGCTGCGTCTCGAGCTCGTCTGTCTCAAGAAGATCGCCTACTACCTGTTTGCGCAGGGCAGCTCGCTCGAGCGACAGCTTGCCCAGCTCGCCACCTTTTGGCACGGCGAGCATCTCGGCGGCGCAGAAGGCGCTGCGTGCGGCTACTGGCGCCATTCGGCTCGACTCACCGAGGTAAGCGACGCGCGCGTGCAGTGCTCCGGCGCCGTCTCCGCCACGGCTGACGCGAGAGCGCTCGTCAAGCACCTCTGCTGTCTGCCTCGCCACTCGTCCAAGGGGTGCGGCGCCCTGCTCCTCGAGCTCCCGCGCTCGCTGCACTGCTGGCGCCTGGTAGAGCGGGCGTGTGCCGCCGCCTCAGCTCCGCCGCCAACCGCCGCCGACGAGCCGCCACCGGCCGCCGTGGCTGGGCGGTGGCACAGCCGCCTTCGAGAGTCGCTCGGTGTGCAGCTGTGGCCGCCCGAAGCGGCGGCGGTCGTGCGCGCCAGCCTGCTCTGCCGTGGCGCAGACAAGGCGGTGCGCATGCGGGATGAGCTGAGCCGCGCCCGCGCCGCGCTCGAGTCCTGCACCGAGGCCGCCGACGCCGCGCTGCGCGCGCTGCAGCGCTCGCCGTGCTGCGCCGAGGACGCGCTGCGCCTGCTCGGTGACGAGGCCGCGCTCGATCCCGCGTCGGCCAGGGCGGCGGCGGCGGCGGCGGTGCGGCGGCACAAGCACGTCAACCTGCTGCGCGGCGCCTCGCCCGTGCTCCGAGTCGTCGCGGGATGGTTGCGCGCCGTCGAAGAGTCGGCCGATCAGCGTCCGGCGGCGGGAGAGCCGCACACGGGCAGTGCGCGCAGGCTCTTTGTCGCCGGCGACAAGCGGCACGGCGAGCCCAGGGGCGCGCAGCCGGCCCTGGTGGCGCCGGGCGGCGGCGGCGGCGGGCTCGAGCTCTTTGGAGAGCTGCGCCGCGTCGAGCTCCGCTACCGGCCGCAGCTTCGCGCCGCCGTCGCCGCGTCGGGATGGCCCGCACACATCGCGGACCGGAGGGGCGCGGTGCGCGAGAAGGCGGCCGACAACAAGCTGTGCAGCGGCTGCGGCGCGCAGTTCTCCGCGCTGTGGGTGCGACCTCCCACGACCTCCCTACTCCTCACCCGCCCTCGCCTTCCCCAATCTCCCGTCCCTACTCCTCACCCGCCCTCGCCTTCCCCGACCTCCCGCGACCTCTTCCCTCCTCGGCTCCACCCAGCCTCGTCTCGGCCTCGCCTTGACCTCGCCTCGATCGCCGCAGGTGCACCGCGGCGTCTGCTGCGAGTGCGAAACGGAGCGGCGGGCCGCGCAGCGCTGTCCCTTCAACGGGGCTTGCTCGGCGTGCTGGTGGTGCCCTCACGACAGCCGCTGCTTCGTCTGCGACGCGTGGTCGTGCGCAGAGTGCCGGATGGAGCGCGGCGCGGCCGAGGTGGTCGCCGCGGCGGCGGCGCGGCTCGGGCCGGCGCGCGTCGCGCTCGACTTTGACCGGACGCTCGCGACGACGCGTGCGGGCTCGGAGCCGGTGTACGGCAAGCACGGCTGCGACGAGGAGCTTCTCGCGCTGCTGTGGACGTGGCGGCGCGCGAGCCTCGTCCTGACGCGAAACAGACACACGCGGGCAATCCGCGAGTTTCTGGAGAGGCGCCGCGGTCGCCCTGGAGAAGCGCAAGAGAGCGAGTCTGCGCACGCCCTCTCGCACCGGGTGGGTCATGCTCTGCGATAGGCACGGCGCGCCGCCCGGGATCGAGGTGAGGCACGTCAAGAAGGGGGAAGCGAAGGGCGCGGCACTGCGAGAGGGCTTGCGGCCCGGGGACACGGCGCTGCTCGTCGACGACAGCATCGCCGAGCTGGTCCATCCGAGCGTGACCGGCGACTGCGGGGCGGAGGCGGGCGAGGTGCACCGAGTCCTGTTCGTGCGGCTTCTGTGAGGAAAATTGGGGTTTGGAAGGGGCTCTAGCCTACACACCGATTAGGAATCCTATCGCTATATTTAACGTACGCACCGACGAGCGACGACTTCGTCACGACTATCCCTCAGCTATCACTTGTATATACGCTTTTCGACCTCGACCTACCGCTTTTCCTTTCAAGAACAAGTTACATGTAAACACTCAGTGTCTCGCTAAATCACTTCGGTCTTCCGGCTCTCTCTCTCTCTCTCTATAAACCTACGCATTGTCCATTAACGACGGGGCCGAGTCGCTCAGTCAGCCGCAGCGACCCATGCACGGCAAGGACGATGTGGATCCACACTCCATGCGCACGCCACAAAGTCATGACCGCTCACGGCTAAGTATCGGCTTCGTCTCATCTGTGCCTCTCCACTCTGATCTCTGTCTCGCCGGCATTGAGGAAAGCGCCCGCCCAACGTGCCAGCGCGCGCGCGGTCAGACCGCCTCGATCGCCTGGAGCGGCAGCGAGATTTGCAGCTCCTCGAGCGCGCCGCCCTGCTGCTTGAGCCGCTCGACGGTGAGCGTCACCTTTTGGCCGGGCTGGTAGCTGTCGAGGGCGCGGAACAAGTCCGCCTCGTTCCGCACGGGCGCCGCGTCGATCTGCACGATGACGTCGCCGAGGCTGACCGTCCCGTCGGCGAGGCGGAAGGTTGGTCTGAGGCCCGCCTTTGCTGCGGCCGAGTTGTCGGGCACGCCGAGGACGAGCACGCCGCGCGCGACGCCGAGCGCGCGCGCCTGCGCCGCCTCGAGGAAGGAGATGCCGATTGCAGGGCGGAGGACCTTGCCGTAGCGCAGGATGGTCGCCACCTGCTGCTTGAGCGTGTCGGCGGGGATGGCGAAACCGATGCCTGCGCTCGCGCCCGACGGCGAGTAGATTGCGGTGTTCATCCCTATCAGCCGGCCGGACGAGTCGAGGAGCGCGCCGCCAGAGTTGCCTGGGTTGATCGCCGCGTCCGTCTGGATCACGTTCGAGATGGGGCGGCCCGACGGAGAGGTGACCTGCTCCCGTCACGGAGGACTGATGGTGACCGATGGCCAATGCCTCCTAGTGGGCGATCAATCAGGCTGGCCGCGCCTCGCGGCCGAGCCCGGAGACGACGCCCACGGTGAGGGTGTGGTCGAGCCCGAACGGGTTGCCGATGGCGAGGGTGGTGGAGCCGACCCGCAGAGCGGAGGAGGAGCCGATGTCGATCGGGCGCAGCGCGGCGGAGGGCTCAATCTTGAGCACGGCCACGTCCTTGTCCGGGTTGTACCCGACCAGCGTCGCGCCAAACATCTTTGTGCTTCCTCGCCCGTCCACGACGCCAACCTTCGCCTGGCTCGCACCTCTGATGACGTGGTAATTGGTCACGATGTGACCGGCGTCGTCCCACACAAAGCCCGAGCCCGTGCCCGCCGGCACGTCGACCGCATTCATCGTCAGCCTGTCGGTGCGAGCCACGAACGTGTTGATGTAGACGACGCTCTCTGTCGCTCGCGTGAAGAGGTCCTCGACGGTCCGCTCCTGCTGCTGCAGCGCCGAGATGGGCGTCGAACGGTCCACAGCGGCGCAAGCGGAGCCGGGCACCACGCCGCCGGCGAGCGCCGCCGCGCCGAGCGCAAAGGCCCGCCGGCTCAGCTCGGACGCGACGGCTGGTGGAGCGCGCCGGCTCCGCTCGGACGCGACGGCTGGCGGAGCGTGATGGCTCAGATCGGAGCGGCAGTGCAGCGGCGGCGGCGAGCGGTGGAGCGCCACGTGCGTGATGGCTGTTGAGAGCAGGAGCGCGACCATTCGCCAGGTACGTTCTCCTTTAGCAACGCCGCACGTGTGGCCGACGGGTCGAGGTGAGCGCTAAAAGAAAAAAGGCGATGTCCTCGCAGCAGCAGCGCCTTGTCGCTAAAATAAAAAACAAAAAATTCATCCCCGCGGCGCCCCGCTGTGGGGCGTAGCACGAGCTACCATGGTGCCAGCCGTCTCCACCCTTGCCGCCCCCGCTGTCGCCCCCTCCGCGCTCCCCGCCCCCGCCGTCGCCTCCGCCATCTTCACCGCCACCACCCTCCTCGCCCTCCCCGCGTCCACCCTCCCTCCTCCCCTTCGCCTCCCCTCTTCCACCCCCACCCAGCGCCCGCACGCGCGCCAGCACAGCGCGTGACCTCCCTGCGCGTTCGCGTGGGCGCGGCGCACACCAAGCGCTCCCTCCCCACGCCTCCCCTCCGCAGAGCGGCATGGACCGCGATTGGGGCGTAAAGTCGGGCGGTGGCGGCGTCGCCTCCGACATCCAGGCCAAGGTGGACCGGCGCGAGCGGCTGCGGCAGCTCGCTCTGCAGACGGTCGACCTGATGAAGGACCCGTACTTCATGAAGGCGCGCGCGCCTCCCCGCCGGACCCGCCTCGCGCGCCGCCGCCCCAGCCTGTCCGCGCCCCCGCCCGCAGAACCACCTGGGCAGCTACGAGTGCAAGCTCTGCCTCACGCTGCACAACAACGAGGGCAACTACCTCGCCCACACCCAGGGCAAGCGCCACCAGCAGAACCTCGCGCGCCGCGCCGCAAAGGAGGCGCTAAACAACCCGACGCTACCGCAGGCAAGGGCTCTCCCCGCCGCCGCCGCCGCCCCCGCGATTGACGCCGCGGCACGCCGCCGTCGCCGCTCGTCGTCGCTGCCGCCGCACGCACGCCGCCGCTCTCCCATCCCATCCCTCACCGCCGCCGCCCCCGCCGCCGCCCCCGCCGCCGCCCTCAGGCCAACAGCAGGACCGTCAAGGCGCGCAAGACGGTCAAGATAGGGCGGCCTGGCTACCGCGTGACGAAGCAGCTGGATCCGGAGACGCAGCAGCGCTCGCTGCTCTTCGAGGCGCTCCGCCCGGCCGCCCCCGCACCTCACGACGCCGGCAGCGCGCCCACACCCGCGCACTCCCTGCCCACAAGGTCGACTACCCCGAGATAACTCGTGTCAATGAGTGTTAATGAGTATGAATTGGTTGCCCAAGGTCGACTACCCCGAGATAACTCGTGTCAATGAGTGTGAATGAGTATGAATTGGTTGCCCAAGGTCGACTACCCCGAGATCGAGGAGTCGCTGCAGCCGCGGCACCGCTTCATGTCCGCCTTCGAGCAGCGGGTCGAGCCGCCGGACAAGGCTCGCCGCCGCCCCGCAGCAGAGAGCGGCGATCGTGCGAGGGCCACGCACGCGCACCTCCTCGCCCACCGCCAGCCTCGCCCGCCGCCAGCCTCGCCCCGTCCCGCCGCATAGATCCAACCCTTCCCTGCACCGTGCCCGTAGGAGTGGCAGTACCTCCTCGTCGCCGCCGAGCCGTACGAGACGGTCGCCTTCAAGATCCCAAACTAATCAGCACTGATTAACACTGAGTAACACTGAGTAACACTGATTAACACTGATTAACACTGATTAACACTGATTAATAGGTCGCCTTCAAGATCCCAAACACAGAGATCGACAAGGCCCACGGCAAGTTCCACTCGGCGTGGAACGACGAGACGAAGACATTCACGGTGCAGCTCTACTTCAAGGCGGGCGGGGAGGGCCCGCACGGCCGTCCGCTGATGCGGCCGCCGCCGCCGCCCCCTCCGCCGCTGATGGCGCCCTCCTGAGCGGGCACCCAGGGTTGGGGGGGGGGGGGGGGGGAGGCGGCCGCGCCTGTTCCATCCAAACGCCGCGGCCTTTCGGGGTGGCAGGAGGCGCGCATCCGAATGCGGTCTCTCCTCCACTCGCTCGCACAGGCGCTCCCCTCGCGCGCTCCTGGGCGACGCGCGACCCAAAAACCGGGGCGCGGCGCCCACACACACATCAGAGCCCTCGAGTCAGAGCCGGTATCTGAATCTCTTACGGCTTTATCTGTGTGGACTGTGCGGGGCGGCCCCGGGCCCCCCTAAGATACTCACATGTACATGTAGGATGCACACGCATGTAAAATACGACTGATTGCGCACTACGATCAGCGATCACACGGCTCACGAGACTGAAAACAGAACGAACTCGTAAAGCCGTAGCCCGTACACCGGAGCGGTTTCTACCGCGTACCGGCAACCGGGTTACTACCGTCGCGCGTCGGACGATCCGTCGCTTGAGAACCTTGATGTATCGTGATGTCGGCGATGGCTGACTTTTTTGCTGCTGGTGCGGGGGATCGCTAGGGGATCGCGAGAGCGAGCACCGATAGAGCGCGCGGCGCGGCTCGATGGTTGGAGACGACCCTAACGCATGGGTGTGCCAGCCTGGCAGCCAGCCAGCCAGCCTTGCGATGATCATCCCGCTCAACCCAATCAACCCTGACCCTGACCCTTGACTCTGACCCTGGCCCTGCTGCTCGAGACGGGCAATCCAGACGTGTGCATCATCCACAAGTGCACCACCATCCGCCTGCTGCGTAACTGAGGGAACCGAGTGTACCCAAAATGCTACGCCGTTCCAGCTAGCGCAGGCGCTCGGATGCTCGACCGGTGCACTAACTGTCGCCTCCGAGAAGAGCTGCGTAGACTTGGGACAGTAGTTCTGCCCACGAAACGGCGCCGTCGCCGTCCGTGTCCTCGATGACTAGCCAAGTGCCAGTCCAGCCAATCGCAGCGTCCAGCACTTTCTCCAGTTCTGCCACGTCGCTAGTCGTCAATGTGGCGATGCGCTGTGCGGCAACTGCCGCCGCCACGGTTGCGACATGACTGGCAGTCAGGCGCATGGCGACGCAGCAGCGGCAGCAGCAGCAGTCATCGAGTCGCCGCGCCACAACAGGGTGGGAAAGAAATCGCTGCGTTCCCATCCCTCTTAATCCCTCCCTTTCAAACAGCGCCTGAACGCATGGCGTTCAGGCGGCACTTCTCTCGCGTCGGCTCCGCCGAGCGCTGCACAGAGACCATCTTCACTGACCACCAACGACAGGTGTGCGACTACGCGCTCGTCTACGCGGAGAAGAAGAACGACGGCGAAGCGCCGTACTCGGTCTCCTTCACCGCGACGCAGAGCGGCGACGTCATCGTACAGCTGCACCCGCACTCGCAGCTCGAGCGCGCTGTACGCCACGAGCGGCAGGCGCAGGCCACGGAGCCGCCTGCGAGCGCGAGCCCTGCGGCGCCGCCCGGCCGCCCCTGCCGCAGCGCCGCCAGCCGCGGAGCCGGCGCCCAAGACGTACGCCGCCGCAGCCGCATCGCAGCCGCAGGGTGCCACCGCGGGTGGCCAGCCCGCCGCGCCTGCGGGCCCGGCCGCCGCCGCGCGCGTGCCGCCGCCGCCCAGCGGCGGCGGAGTGAGCGGCTGCTCCTTCACTGTCCCTAACCCGGGCAGGAAGCGTGGGCAGCAGCAGCGCGGCAAGGGCCGCGGTGCCAGGGGCCGTGCCGATGCTGGACCCCGTCTCGTTGACAAGAACGCGCTGTCCGCGCGCGGCAGCGGGCCCTCGCGCCAGTCGCGCTCGCCGTCGCCCGACTCTCCGCCCGCCAAGCGGGCCGCCTCCGCTGACTCGTCCGGCTATGAAACCGATACGCCGGACGAGGTGCAGCAGGAGGCGGTCCGCAGGGTATGCGGCGCGCTCGGCATGAGGGAGCAGTTCGAGGCGGCGATGGCGGCGGGCGAGCTGCTCGAGATGCTCGAGAGCTTGCCGCGAGGGGCGGTCGAGGCCTCCGTTCGGCTGATGCGCGGTTACAACCGCACGGGCGAGTGGCCAGAGCCCATCCTCACCAGCCCTACCCCGCAGCGCGGCCGCTCGCCAAGCCCCGTCGATGAGTGGTCAGATGGTTAGTGCCCGAGAGCGAGGGGTCCGGGGGGGAGCACAAATAGGACGCCCAGCCTTGCCCTCGTGCCGCCGAGTGCATATCCTATGCGAGAGAGATCCCCTGTGCCCTGTGCCCAGCCCTCTCCGCGCGGCGATGCGCCCTCCCCCCTCGCTTTTGCAAAATCCTGCAAAGGTGGGGACGTGTCTGTCCTCGACCCAGCCCTAGCTTGGGATGTCCGTTGTATTTATTTATTTATTTATTCCCTCCCTTGGGTTGTCCGTTTTCTTTCTTTCTTTCTTTTTAAAACCCGTATGTGGTGGCGGCGTGCCGTCCTCCCATCCCTCCCTTGCGGCGTCTGTTTTCTTTCTTTTCCATCCCTCTTTTGTGTTAACGCGTTTTCTTTCTTTCTTTGTGCGGCGGATGACTGAACTCCAAGACCAAGTGCGGTTGCAAATTCCAGCAAAAGGTGTGGCGATCTGCTTTCTCCTGCAGTAAAACCATTACAAGTACATACAATTTACTCCGCTCCTCACGCGCGGCTAGCTGTTCCTTCTGCGCGTCTTCTCTGTAGCGCCCGAGTCAGTCGGTCTTGAGCCGGTCCGTCGCGCCGCCCAGGAGCGGCTTGAGGAGGAGGAGGGGCAGGAGGAGCGTCGCGGAGCGGACGAGCAGCAGCGGCACGAGCCCAGCGTACGCGCCCTTCTCCACGCCAAACGGCGCAAGGAGCGCGGCCCCCGACGCGCCGGCGAGGGTGTGCCCAAAGTTGTACGTCGACATGAAGGTGGCGTAGAGCGAGGCCTGCAGGGGCAGCGCGCGGCTGGGAGGGCGGCGGCACGCAAGCGCCCGGCTGCCGAGACGTGGCGGCCGCGCACACCTCGCAGCCGGGCGGGCAGAGGCGGGCGCTTTCCTCAATGCCGGTGAGACCGAGATCAGAGTGGAGAGGCACAGATGAGACGAAGCCGATACTTAGCCGTGAGCGGTCATGACTTTGTGGCGTGCGCATGGAGTGTGGATCCACATCGTCCTTGCCGTGCATGGGTCGCTGCGGCTGACTGAGCGACTCGGCCCCGTCGTTAGGGGGCGCCGAGGACGAAGAACCGATCGAGGATGCCGAGGCGCAAGTTGAGGCGGGAGACGAGGAGGACGTCGAGGAGGGAGAGGGCAAAAGCGGCCAGCTGGCAGGCGCCGAAGAGGCGGAGGAAGGAGACGCCCCTGACGTAGCGCGAGTAGAGGACGGAGCCGAGCAGCAGGCCGCAGTAGGCGAGCACGCCTATCGGGGACGTGTCGCGGACATGTCGTGGACACACCATGGACGCGTCCGAGACGTAGACGGGCCACGCCCTGCAGCGCGAGGAAGCCCTGCGTGAAGCCGAGCTCGTCGGTGAGGAAGAAGAGCATCGCCTGCGCCGGGCTCCCACATCTCCACACATCTCCCCATATCTCCTCATATCTCCCCATATCTCCCCATCGCCTGCGGGCTCCACATATCTCCCCACATCTCCCCATATCTCGTCGCCGAGGCGGTGGCGGCGGGCGGCAAGAGGTATATCTCTCCCCAGATCTCCCCATACTCCCCATCGCCTGCGCCGGGCTCGGCACCAGCGCGTTCTGCAGCAGGAAGAAGCAGAGCGGCTTGTAGATGGACGGCAGCCGCAGCGCGCGCAGCAGCGCGGCGCCGGCGGCGCCGAGCGCGGCCAAGCTCCCGCCGGCGGTGCCTCGCGGCTCGGAGTGCGGCGGCTCGGAGAGGGCGTGCGAGGCGGCGAGCACGAGGGCGGGGCACGCGGCGGAGAGGCCGAAGATGGCGCAGGCCGGCACGGCCGAAGCGGCGAAGCCGAGGCCCGATCCGCAGAGCCCGCCCACCGCGAGAGCACCTACAGCGCCAATGGCAGAAGAAGTCGGAGACGAAGAGGTTCTCCTGCCTGCGCCTCTTCCCCTCCTCGTTTACCCCAGCACAAGCTCTGGAGGGCATTCTCGCCCTCGGTGCCGGCGGCGCTCTGCCCGCCCGAGGAGGCCGCCTCGCGCGCAGCCGCCTCCGCCACCATCGCGTCGACGACGACGTCGGAGAGGGCGGTGGAAAGGTTGGAGAGCAGCAGCAGCGCAGTCAGCAGCGCCATTGCCGTCAGCGGCGGCAGGGAGGCGGCCGCGGCGCCGGGCGCGGCGAGGAGGGCGAGCCCGCTCCACGCGGCGAGGCCGACGGCGGCGGCGAGGACGAGATACGGCTTGCGGTGCTGCCCGCGGATCGGCACGGCGTCGCTCACGAGGCCGTAGAGGGGCTTGACCGACCACGGCAGCGCTGCAGTGGCGAGCAGGCTCTGGATCGCGGCCGGCTCGAGGCCGAGCGAGTCCTTGAGGAAGAACTGGGTCGCGAGGCCGGAGAGGGCGCGAAAGCCCTGCGCAAAGTAGACGACGCAGATGCAGGTGAGGAAGGGCAGCCCGAACGCGGCGCGCTGGCGCCCGAGCCAAGAGAGCTCAAGCGCGCCCGCTGCAGCCTTTCGAGGCGAGGGCTTAATCGTGGTCCGCGGTGGCGGCCTCTCGCGCGTTGCGGCCGGCGAGGCCGCGCGCTTTGCGCGTGGCTGTGCAGGCGCGGATTCCACCACCTTCCGTGCCGGCGAGGCAGCCCGGCGCGGAGCTGGCGAGCCAGGCAGCGCCATGTCGATCTCCAGCGCACGAGTCTCGCGCTGGCGACGGGGAGACGGTTGAGTAGGCATCGTGGCGAGCAGGGAGAGGCCCACCTCCCGCCCCCGCCCCACGCCACGCCGCACGCGACCGTTATACACAAGGCGTCCCCCTGAGATTTGATTGAGATGCAGATGAGCTCGCCAGCTCGCGCGTGTAATTCGTCGATCGGCCGTCCTCTTCACACATCTCGAAGATCTCACTGAGATTGTTATTCAAATTCCATGTTCACAGCAATTGTCTCCCCCTTTTTTTCACCACCTGAGATCGCTATTTTAATGAGGGAGCTCGGTCGTAAAATTCTTTTTAATATCCAGCTGAAGCCCAGTCCAAGCCAGTGGCGTCTTCTCAACACAATACGCGAACCGTCGGCTTCACCACGCACGCCAAAACGTCTTCTCACGCAATGCTAGTCCGCTCGCGTCGCTCGCGCTCACCGCGATCGCCCTCCGCCTCATCGTCCTTCTTCACCTCGTGGACCGTCGGCTCGCTCATCACCACGCTCGTGCTCGCCTGGTGCGTCGTCTGCGCCAGCGGCCAAGCGCCGCCTCCCGCCGACGGCGAGGACATCATCGGCATCGACCTCGGCACGACGTACTCTGCGGTGTCCGTCTACAAGAACGGAAAGTTTGAAATCATCGCCAACGACATGGGCAATCGAGTCACACCCTCCTACGTCGCCTTCACCGACCAAGAGCGACTAGTCGGCGACGCAGCGAAGAACCAGGCGTCGCTCAACCCGACCAACACCCTGTACGACGTCAAGCGGCTGATCGGACGACTCTTCTCTGACGCTACAGTGACGGCGGATCGCAAGCTCTGGCCGTTCGAGGTGGTCAAGGCGGCGGCCGGCGGCAAGCCCAATGTGCTCGTCTCGCAGGGTGAGACCACCAAGTCCTTCGCACCAGAGGAGGTGAGTGCGATGATCCTCGGCAAGATGAAGGAGACGGCAGAGGCGTACCTCGGACACCCAGTGAACAAGGCGGTCGTCACTGTTCCAGCCTACTTCAACGAGGGCCAGCGGCAGGCGACCAAGGACGCCGGCACCATTGCTGGTCTCGACGTCGTGAGGATCCTGAACGAGCCGACAGCGGCGGCGCTCGCGTACGGCCTCGACAAGGACGCCGGCGAGAAGACCATCCTCGTCTTCGACCTCGGCGGCGGCACGTTCGACGTCTCGCTCCTCGGCATCGACTCTGGTGTGTTCGAGGTGCTCGCGACGGCCGGCGACACACACCTCGGCGGCGAGGACTTTGACAACCGCGTGATGAAGCACATGCTCGGCCTGTTCCAGAAGCGGCACGGCGTGGACGCGTCCGGCGACAAGGCGGCGGTCCAGAAGCTGCGCCGCGAGGTGGAGCGCGCCAAGCGCGAGCTCTCGTCCAAGCACGAGGTCCGGCTCGAGATCGAGTCATTCGCAGGCAGCATCGACTTGTCCGAGACGCTGACGCGAGCGCGTTTCGAGGAGTTGAACTCGGACCTCTTCAAGAAGACCCTCGAGCCAGTCAAGCAGGTCCTCGCGGACACCTCCCTCTCGAAGAGCGAGATCGACGAGATTGTCCTCGTCGGCGGGTCGACCCGCATCCCCAAGGTGCGCTCCATGCTGATCCTCTTTTTCGCGCCACCCCCGCAAGGCGCGCGATACACTCCCATCCATTACCGTGCCCCATGTTCACGTGCGGCCGTTTTACCAGGCGCCCAACCGACGGCCGCGCCGCGATTTTTTTTGCCTGCCCCGTCTTCGCCGTCGCGCGACGATCACGCCGGTGTCAAAAGTTCCCATTTTCTTTTTTCCCGCTTCTCTTTTATACCTGGTAAAAAAACCGCTTCGCGCGGGAGAGACGGCGCGTTTAGCCGCGAACGGGCCATGCTCTGGCGGCATGAGCGGCGCCCTCCTCAGAGCCCGCCTCGCCGACCTGGCTCGGGGCGACCTGGCCTGGCTGCGCGCCCTCCTCTCCGGGCGGGGGACGCGCGGCACGTCGCTCGTGGCCCAGCTCGACGCGCGGCACGACACCGCGAAGCAGGACACGCTGCTCACCTGGGCCGCTCGGCACGGGCAGGCCGAGGCGGTGCGGCTGCTGCTCGAGGGCGGCGCGAGCGTCGGGGCGACGACTGGCGGTGGCGCTCCCGCGCTGTTCATCGCGTGCGATCAGGAGCAGATTGAGTGCGCCCGGCTGCTCCTCGAGGCGGGCGCGACGATAGACCAAGCGGATTCTGAAGGCCGCACGCCGCTGTACATCGCGAGCCTGCAGGGCCATGAAGAGTGCGTCCGGCTGCTTCTCGAGGCTGGCGCGGCGGTCAACCAAGCCCGCAACGACGGCACCACGCCGCTGTACATCGCGTGCCAGAGCGGCGACCTCGAGATCGCCCGGCTGCTTCTCGAGTCGAGCGCGGCGGTCAACCAAGCCCGCAACAGCGGCGCCACGCCGCTGTACATCGCGTGCGAGAGAGGCCAGCTTGAGTGCGTGCAGCTGCTTCTCGAGGCTGGCGCGGCGGTCAACCAAGCCACGCACGGCGGCGCCGCGCCGCTGCTCATCGCGTGCCAGAACGGCCAGCTCGAGGTCGCTCGGCTGCTGCGCGACGCTGGCGCTGACATCAACCAAGCGATAGACGATGGTACCGCGGCGCTGTACATGGCGAGCCAGCAGGGCTACCTCGACATCGCCCGGCTGCTCCTCGAGGCTGGCGCTGACATCAACCAGGCCGAGGAGAGCGGCGCCACGCCGCTGTGTCAGGCGTGCCAGAAGGGCCACCTCGAGATCGTCCGGCTGCTGCGCGACGCTGGCGCTGACATCAACCAAGCGATGAGCGACGGCACCACGCCGCTATTCATGGCTTGCAAGAACGGCCACCTCGAGTGTGCCCAGCTGCTGCGCGACGCTGGCGCTGACATCAACCAAGCGATGAACTGCGGTACCACGCCGCTGTTCATAGCGTGCCAGGAGGGCCAGCTCGAGTGCGTTCGGCTGCTTCTCGAGGCCGGCGCAGCGGTCAACCAAGCCAAGCAGGATGGCGCCACGCCGCTGGTCGTTGCGTGCTACCAAGGCCACCTCGACGTCGCCAAGCTCCTCTCCTCCTACGGCGCCTCCCGCGCCGCTACGCCCTTCGGCACGCCCGAGGCGATTGCAAATCGTGAAGGCCACGCCGACCTCGCCGCCTGGCTGGCCGCCAGCCGCGGCTGGACGCCGCTCCAGCATCTCGAGGCGTGCCCGAGACTAGCGGCCGAAGGTGTGAGCGCGCTGTCCTCACGCCCATTGCCCCTCTTCCGCAGGCGCTCACCGTCGAGCGGGCGCGGGCGCTGCTGCGCGGCGGCGCCGACCCGCTCGCCGGCGCGACTTCTGCCCTCGAGCGGGCGCGCGTCCTCTGCTCGTGGGGCGAGTCGGATCCGACCGCTGCGGCCGTCGGTTCCACAGTCGAGATCCGCTCTCTCGTCTCGCGGCCCTCGATGAACGGCAAGGTCGGCGTCGTCGTCTCCGCGAGCGCTTCGACGGCCCGCTTCGGCGTGCGCGTGGCGGGCGAGGCCAAGGCCCTCGCACTGAGGCGCGCTATGCAAGGGTCTCTCCCCGACTCGCCGGATCCTCTTTTTGACACACCGCTGCCCTCCCTCAGGCCGGCCAACCTGCAGCCAGCGGCCGAGGCGGTGGCGGTGGGCAGGCTCATCCTCAAGGCGGCGGAGTGGTCGCCGCAGTCGCACAAGCTCTTCCCAACAGCGGCTCGCAAGCGGGCGGTCGAGGTGATGCGGCTGGGCTACCTGGTCGCTTGGGACGAGGAGCGCTTCGACAGCCGCGAGGGAGCGGCTCCGGAGCTGGCGGACATCTGGCGCGGCTTTGTGCTGCCAAGGGTGGTGGCGCGATGACTTCTCCGCACAGGGTTTTCACTGTGAGAGGGCCAAACCCCCACGCCCCGTGGGGTCTTGCCGCTGCCCTCCCTCCTCGCGTCCTCGACAGCACCTTCGCGCTTCGGTGGCATGCACCTCTTTGCTCCTGAAGCCTGGAGAGCAGCTCCTCTGCTGCTCACGCGCTCTGCACAGTTGGCACAGCCTACTGTGCGGCTGCCACAGCTGTCACAGCGATGGGCTCGGCGCTCGCCCTCACTGATGTTCGCGAGGCGGGAAATTCTTTTATAGCCGCACGACAACATTCTAAAATTCTTTTAGCCGGGGTCGTGGGGTGTGGACGTGGGTGGGGTGCGGGTGGCGGGCGCGGGCGCCGGAGTGGGAGTCACATGAAACTCCGACTCGCACTGTTTGCACAAGAACACAAAAATATCAATCACACGGTGCTCACGCCGCCTCTCACTACGGGTTGGACAGGCAGCCAAAGATGGCCTCTGCAAGCCGCTGCGCCTGATACGCCCACTCTAGATGTAGCTCCCCGGCCGCGCCGTCTTCCCGAACCAGCCGCAAACTGAGGCGGCCAGCGGCCACTCGAACCTCCTCCGCGTCCGCGTCCCACTCTAGCCGGCCCACCTCCGCCATGCCGCTCAGCTCTGCCCCGTCGCAGAGGCGACGCCACACCGCCCGCATCGCACTGTCTCCGCCGTGGCAGCCGCGCGGCAGCGGCAACGTGAGCACCGACCGGATCTCGTGCCGCTGCATCCCGCCCACGGACTCGAGCTCGGACGGGGCCACCAGCAGCACACGAGACCTACACGAAGGCTCCGGGCAGCGTCGGGGACGCCTCCCTGCAGACCCGGCTGCAGCAGGCACCAGCGACCCCGCGCTGCGTGGCGAGGCGAGGCCGGCCGCCGCGAGCGACCCGCGTGCGACACCGCCCGATGGCGTGGCGTTCTCGAAAATGGCGCACTCCGAGCTCAGCGCCTCCTCGCCAGGAGGGAGAGCGACGAGCCTTCGTGTAGGTCAACGCAGAGCGGGGCGTGGCAACAGGAGGGGCGGTGAGTAAGAACAACGGTACTCATCACAGTAGTACTGCGGGGTGGTGAGTCGCGCGGCGATTGCGCAGCCGAGAGGTAGCCGAGAGGTAGCATCTAGGCCGACGCGCAAGCCGCGTAATCGCGTCAGCACGCGACGCGGCAGCATCCCGCCCCCGCCCGCCTCGCCAGCGAGCGTGCTGCTTGCCAGCGCCAGCACCGCCTCGCCGTCGTCGCCGCCGCCGCCGCCGCCGCCGCCGCCGCCGCCGCCGCCGCCGCCGCTTCCTGCCTCCACCTCGGCGAGACGCGAGAGCGGCTCCTCGGCGGCGAGACTCTCCTACTCACCTCTGACGGCGTGAGGAAACGCCGTGTCACACTTCTCCGTCCCGCCGCGGCTCAGCTGTGCCGCACGCCGGCGCCGCTTGACGGGCGGCTCTGCTCCGGCGACGCACGACTCGGACCCGGCAGCCTCCGCCGCCTCCGCGACCTCGAGCACCTCCGCGCCAGCCTCCCCCATCCCAAGGACCGAGGAGTCGGCGTCGTCCTCAGAGTCGGCGATGCTGCCGCCGTCGCTGCCGCCGCCGCCGCCGTCGGTGGCGTCGCCGCTACGCTCCCAGCCCCTCTCGGGATCGAGACCGCCCTCCGGCCGCGCCTCGCCTACCACGCCCGCCCCGACACTCTACCCTTCTGCGGCCGCTCTCTGGCCGCGCCTCGCCGCTCGAGGCGCCTCTCTCTGCGCCCTGCGGGCGCCCGCAGAAAGCGGGTCCCGGCGCCGCGCCCGCCAGGGGCGACCTCGCGGCGGCAAGGAGGGCCTTAGACACCTCGACGGTCACCGATGGGTCCGCGGGCACGTGCACCGACTCGCCTAGGCGCAGAGCGAGAGCTGTGACGGCGCACCGCACGGTGGCGCGCACGAGGCACGGCGCGTGCGTCGCCATTCTCCGGCGCGTGCGCTCGCACACCGAACGAGCGGGCGAGGGCCGACTTGAAGACGGCCACCTGTTCACAGCCAGAGGTGTGAAGAGACGCTGTTCACGCCGCAGGCGAGGGCCGACTTGAAGACGGCCACCTTTGGGTGAGCCCGGGGGGGCGGCGGGGGTGGTGTGGTGTACGTGTGCGTGTGCGTGCGTGCGTGCGTGTGTGGGGGGGTGGGGGGGGCGGGAGGGGAGGGGGGAGTCCCTAGAGGAGGAGGCAGCTCTTCCCTAGTCGGACAAGGCCGTCTCGAGTGCGTGGGGGGGGGGGGGGGGAGGGTACTGCCCCCGGGGGGGGGTTTCTAAAATCGGCGGACGGGCGGCGGTCGTTCTTTTCTGGACACCTTTGGGCGATCTCCGTGCACGAGCATCACGTGGTGCGGCGCCAAGTGGCGCACGAGCCAGTGGAGCCCCGCGGCGTCAGCGTGCGCTGAGAAGGAGACCGTCTCGATCCTGCGTGCGCGTCGGCGAGAGTGAGTACAGCGGGGTGCAGCCGAGGACTGCACCTCGGAGTGAGAAGACAGCCGAAGACGGGTCGTCTCGACGCGTGGCTCGGAAGGCGCGGATGCTGCGACCCGCATCTAGGGCCTCGAGATGCGGGGAGAGACGGGGAGACGTGGATGCTGCGACCCGCATCTAGGGCCTCGGTCCGGCAGCGAACGTGCAGCTGCTCCGCCTCGGGCGTGCCCTGGCGCAGCGTCACGAGCCTCTTCCCCTGCAGCAGCTGCGCGCCCACTGTGGCGGGGGAGCAGTACGAGGGCAGCAGCACAAGGTTGGCCTCGCCGCCCGCCCAGTGCTTGAAGGCCTCGAGCGCGAAGCCCGCAAACAGCATGCCGGGTGTCGCAAACAGGACGCACGCGCCTGGCGCGTCGAGCATGTCCTTGCTGCCTACGTCTCGGGCCACCTCGGCTAATCTCGGCCGATCTCGCCGACAAGCGCGTCGAGCGCGGCCGCGGTGCCAAAGGGACGCACGTGCTTGAACGCGATCTCGGCTAATCTCGGCTAATCTCGGCTAATCTCGCCAAAGGGACGCACGTGCTTGAACGCGAACGGGCAGCGGTCGGGCGGCGGCGGCGCCTCGCCCTCTACGCCGCGGGGGCGCGACCACGAGGCGTAGAGGCGGTAGAGGAGGTTGGCTCGCTGCATCGCGCCTTGCGCGAAGTAGATTGGCGCGCTCAGCCGCCGCTCCTGCCACGCCGTGTCCAGCAGCAGCTGCAGCTCCTGCGCGCGCCCAAATCCGTACACGGGGACGAGGACCTGAGGTGAGGGGAGGTACACTTCTCCACGCACACGCAAGGTGGTGGGGGAGGAGGGCAAGGCGACCCTCGCGGCTCCACGTCTAGACGACAGGAGCCCCACGGCATTACAAGTGCAAGGCCCGGTGCGCGTGGGTGAGCGGTGTGTGTGTGTGTGTGTGCGTGTGCGTGTGTGCGTGTGTGCGTGTGTGTGTGTGTGTGTGTGTGTGTGTGTGTGTGTGTGTGTGTGTGTGTGTGTGTGTGTGTGTGTGTGTGTGTGTGTGTGTGTGTGTGTGTGTGTGTGTGTGTGTGTGTGTGTGTGTGTGTGTGTGTGTGTGTGTGTGTGTGTGTGTGTGTGTGTGTGTGTGTGTGTGTGTGTGTGTGTGTGTGTGTGTGTGTGTGTGTGTGTGTGTGTGTGTGGACGAGGACCTTGCCGCCCTGTGCCACCGCCTCGGCGACGAGATATGGGGAGATGTGGGGAGATATGGGCGGAGAGATATACCTTGCCGCCCGCCGCCACCGCCTCGGCGACGAGCCGGACGAACTTGTCCTCGTGCCTGATATGGGAGATATGGGAGATATGGGGAGATATGGGGAGATATGGGGAGATGACGAGCCGGAGGAACTTGTCCTCGCGCCTCTTCTGGCTCGAGCGGGTCGAGCTGGCGTAGGTCGACTCGGTGATGAGGAGGTGGGGCCGGAGCGGAGGAATGGCGGCGGGCCCGAGGTGGCCGTCGGCGGTGGCGTTGAAGTCGCCCGTGTACACGACGGAGTGGCCCGCGGCCTCGGCGTGCACCATCACGGCGCCGAGGACATGGCCGGCGTAGTAGGGCGTGAGCGTGAGGCTGCTGGTCGCGCGGACACGCTCGTGCAGCGAGATGACCTAGTACCATACCTCAAGAGTCTCGAGTCCACCTTGGGTTCAGTCTCGTGGGTGGTGCGGTAGCAGGCCGATGACCGTCACGCGCGAGAGCGTGTGGAGGAGGTCCTCCTTGGTGTAGATGAACTCCACCTGCAGCAAGCACCGCCGGGGTAAGCCGAGGTCTGGCCGAGCTTTTGGCTGAGGTCTGGCCGAGGTCTGGCCGAGGTCTGGCCGAGGTCTGGCCGAGGTCTGGCCGAGGTCTGGCCGAGGTCTGGCCGAGGTCTGGCCGAGGTCTGGCCGAGGTCTGGCCGAGGTCTGGCCTGCTTGCGGTCGCGCATCACATACACATAGTCGAGCAGCATCGTCTGGGCGATGCCGCGCGTCGCCGACGTCATGAAGATGGGACCGCGGTACCCGAGCACAGAGACAAAGTGCGGCAACGCGCCGACGTGGTCGAGGTGGTAGTGAGTGATGACCAGCGCATCCACCACGTGCGCGTACGCCGAGGGCGCAGCGTCTGCCGCTGCCGAGGCACTGCCGCCGCTGCTCCCGCCTCCGCTGCCGCCGCCGCCTGCCGCCGCTACAGCTGCCGCCGCCCCGCCAGGCAGCAGCATGTCAAAGCGTGGGAAGCAGCGCTCGTCGGTGAAGGCGGTGTGGATGCCGCAGTCAAACATCACGCTGTGGCCGCCCATCCGCACGACCACACAGGAGCGACCGATCTCCTGGCCTGCGCCCAGCGGCACGGCGACAATCTTGGCGGCGCTGGTCGACATATGTGAGCGACGACCGGCCATTACCACACGCCGAAAAGAGAATTTAACTGCAGCGCCGCAGTGTGATTTCTCTTTCCTCAAACATATGCTGCCCACCGCGGCCTGCGGCCCTCCGGCGTGGGTCTCTGCGTCGGCGTCGCCGCGCGCCGCACTTGCGGCTGCTCGCGTGCCGCTGCTCCGTGCGCAGGCGAGCGACGAGGACGAGTATCTCGCCGACCTCGAGCAGCAGGCGCCGGCGCAGCCAGCAGAGAGCCCGCCCACACAGCACCTCAGCGTCCTGACCCGGCGCCCGTGGTGACGTAGCTCCGACGCGCCGCAGCGCGATCTTCTCGATCGCCGCCGGCGCCGACCGCCGCCGATGGGCCGCCAGTGCGGCGAACCGGCGCGGCGCTGCCGACCAGCCGAGAGGGCTCGCAGGCGCGGGCCGGCCGCCCACCCGTTGGACTCAGCCCCAACGCTCAGCCCCGCGTGATCGCGTGTGGCGCAGGTGTATGCGCTGCCGGGCAAGGCGAGGGCGGCGTGGCGGAGCTACATCGGCGTCCCCGGCCAGCTGCTGCTGCTGTCGACCCTCTCGCTCCTCGTCGGCTTCTACCTCGCGGGCGCCAGCCGCCGCCGCCAGCCGCCCGCCGCGCCCGTGCCCGCCGCCCCACCGCGCCCCGCCCGCCGTCGCCGCCAGGCTCGCTCTCCACCATCTTTGGCGCCGCCGGCTTTTGGGAGCCTGTCATTGGCCTGCCGGTGCTGCTAGTCGGCGAGGTGGTGACGCGCGAGTACTACCTGCGGCCAGCGGAGCGGCGGCCGGTGCTGCTCAAGCTCGCCAACGCGCTCAAGGTGGGCTTCTACTTGGGCGTCGTGGTGGACGCCATCAAGCTGGCGGGGTGATGCACGGCGAGGAGAGGTATGGGGGGTGTGGGGAGACTCGCAGCGTAGGCCGACGCGGCGAGGCAAGGCATTGAAAAAATAAAAAAAATAATCAGTAACCCTGGCCACAGTGTCAAATGCTGCCGAATCGGCAGCAGGGCAGCACTCTGAGCGCGAACTCGCCGTCGTCTGTTGAAAGTGTGAAGACGCAAGGACCGAGATAGGACTCCCGAGAGAGGTGTACTGAGAAAATGCTAAACAAAATGCTTCGCGCCATGGCTGTGGCCAAGTGGGCTTCGACCGGCCTCGGCTGGGGGGGCGGGTTGTCCCGGTTGCGGACGCCTTTTCCTTCCTTTTTTGGGCCCTGTGGGCACCCTAGCCGTGGTCGCCGCAGACTGGCTCCGACACTTGACGGCAGCATGGAGAAGTGATGCCTCCATGCTGCCGTCGAGTCAAAATCGACATGCGAGTCGATCTTTGGCCCGCCAGAGGTACATGCGGCGTTTCGGGCGACAACAGCGCTGCGACCGCGAAGTGGCGGTGGACATGCTCGCATGTTGCCGACGCGGCACCGGAGTGGCCGGCGCTGCTCGCCGCGACCACGGCAACTACTCTGATACTCCGGGCCGAACCGTCCTACCCGACGGTGGCACTCTTCCACGTCTCGCTCACGCTGACAGCGTGGAATCGCTGAGAAAAAATCTGAAACGGCGTGCAGCAGAGTCACACCGACGAGTCGGTCCGCGTGACTCCTCGTGTCCCGTACCGTTTTCTCACACATCCATAAACTCACTTTGGCCTCACTGAAGCAAGCCCTCAATCCTGAATCCTCAGATTTTAGATTAGGACGCTGTCCACCCCCTAGCTCCGAGGCGCGAGGGTTGGTCTGCGCTTTGGGTTTCCCCCTGCGCGGAAGACGAAGATGCTATGGTCGACCCTAGCACGCAGCATGGTGCCGATTCACAATGTCTCTAAGACCGACCTCCGGGCCGGCCATCTCCCTTTGCTCGCCAGATCGAAATGTACCCGCCGAGAGGCGAAAGTTGCCGCCACGACCGCGTCGAGCCGAAGACAGTTATCAGCTTCATTGGGCAACACGGCACCGGCAAGTGGTCGCCAAGTGCGGCGGCGTCGACGTTAACTTGTTCGCACCCTTGGCAAGTGCATGCCTGGGCCCATTCATCGGCAGATGCGCAATTCGCGTACGATATCGACGGCACGAGCAGCATCGTTTTTGCATCACTGCGCGACGCAAGAGCCACTTGGTCGTCGTTGAGTGCGATCACGCCTTCGAGCGCCGAGCCGGGAAAGAGGTGAGGAACCGGGGGGACGCGCTTCGAGAATATGTGGTCGGGCCGGACGCGAAGCACCAGCTCGTAGCTGAAGGAGCGTTCAGCCTCCTCCTTCTGCATCAAGTAGTAGCACGCGGCCAGGCGTGCTGCCATCGGCAGGAGAAAGCGATGGTTGGAAGTGTGGCGCGGACAATGACCAACAGGCCGAGCGACGTCCTCTGAGGCGGCATGGACTGCGCGCAACTGAATGCGCAGCCGATAATCGGCCTGATTGAGAGGCGCGTCAGTTGAGAGAAAGTACTCGTATCCGCTCCGATGCAGCTGGTCGGCAAAGCCGTCCTGCACCTCACGGTCTAGAAAGGTGCGCAACTGGCCTGAGATGCACACGGCCACGATAGGCCGGACGCTGGCATTCGTCTGATCGACATAGTGGCCCGCAAAAGCGGGCGACGGCATATAACATGCTCAAACGCGCGTCCACTGTGGGTTCCGCCTCCCTGGGGGTCGGGGATCTCCAACCCTGGTAGATTGCAATCTAGGGGCGTGACGCTAAGTTTGGGAGCGTGTCACGCCTCGAGATGACAAGTCCCATTTTATTATCTAAAAGAAATGCCTCGCTTCGGTGAGCCGTCTGCTGACTACTCACGGAGGGTCGTCAGTAGAATCGAGACGTTCCTCGGAAAGCGCAAGACCTATGATAACCGAGGTCTCATGAGTGGCCCAGAGAGAAAGAGCGGAATATGGCGTGGACCGTGGTTGCTGGTTCGGCGTGGAGCGCGTTGCCCAGCTCGAGCCGTCCGCCCGTGTCGCAGAGTCGAACGGGATCCACTTCCCGTGGGACATCAAGGGCGGCATCCTCGGCGACGCCGCGACATGAAAGGGGCCAGACCGCGAAACACACCGCACGCGGCCTGAGTCAGCCGGCCGGGCCCCACGCCGGCACCACGCAAGCCAGTGCCGACCGCACGGCCGCCTCGAGGCTGGTGACGCGGGCGAGCTTGGAGGTGGCCGTCCTATGCAGTGAGGGCGGCAGCGAAGCCGTGTCCAGCGCAAACGGAGACGCGCCGAAGTTGAACTCGATCGGCGCGCGCGAGTCGAGCCCGACCAGGGGGTAGAGCGGCATCAGCTGCGCCGGCCCACGACGTCTCCGAGCGAGCAGGCGGGGACGAGGGGCCGGCCGGAGGCGCCATGGCCGTGGAAGGCCTGTCCGTGGCAGCCAAAGGACGCGCGCTGTCCCACCCGGATCCCTGCGGGTGGCGTGAATCAAAGAGATATATTTGCCACTTTCCGCACAAACATGGCACCGAACCCAGCTGAAGCTCTCGACTCGTCGACCGAGCTCTGGACGATGCCGACCTCAAACCACCAGCGCCAGCAACGACGTGCCGCGGCTCGCCGCGCATCTGTTGCGACCGACGACGTGCCCGACGCCGTCCCGCGGCCGAAAGGAAGAGGCCCGCGCAACCACTTCTGGGACCCGCGGCCGCCGGGCGTGCGGCGGCACAACGAGTCGAACGAACCGAACCAGCGCAGAGCGGCGCGTCTCGCGAGCGCCCGCGGCCGCCACGCCGACGCCGTCCGCGGCCGACGGTGGTCGCGAATCAACGCGGCGCGGTGCAACGAGGCCAAGTCCTTCCAGGCTCCCGCCAGCAGCGCCTCGTGGCGTGGGCTGCACGGCCCTTCGAGACGGCCCGGGGGGCGGTGAGAGACCTCTCCCGCCGGCATGGCGCACTATATCACCCGTAGAGGCCTCTTTATAGTCGCCTTTTGGCACCTCCTCTCTCCACGCCGCCGGTTAGACCTCGCCGCATCGCATCGCCCCCTTCCCTGCCCCGTCGCCCTCCTGAGCTCTCCCTCCTTCGCTCCAGCCATGCACAGGACGGCTGGACCATTGGCCCGCGTGCCAGGCGTCCGGGACGGCCGGGTATCGGCTCCGTACTTTGAGCCCTCTTGGGCCACCCTCGCGTCCACCGGCCGGCAGAGCACCGCTTGGGCGACTCAGACGGCCCGCCCGACCAGCGCGTTCGATCGTGCCGCCCCCACAGCGTCAGTGGCGTGCGTGGGGTGGCAGGCGGCGTCAGCGCAGCCCCTCGTGGGGGTGCCCACCGCTCTCCTCTCACCGCTCCCCCCCGCCCGTGGCACCCCACGCACGTCCCTCCTCAGGGGCGCAAGGCGGCACGTTCAACGCTTGCCTCGGCCCACCTCGCCTTCACGCCCGCCACCGCGACCAAGGAGGTGGCCTCGGCGGCCCAGATGAAGCCCGTGCGGCTCGTTTGGGAGCCGCATGCCGTCCCTCTCTCGCCGGCGCTGCTCACCACGCCCAAGCCTACGCCGAGGAACCCGTCGCGCCCGTCGCTCACGAGCTGGTGGCTCGCATCGACCGAGCCGTCCAGCTTTCTCACGCCCTGCCCACGATCAAATTCGAGACGACCAACATCCGACCACAAAAAAGGCCCGCGCGTGCTGCGCGGGCCGGCGAGCGACTAGCGAGCCAACCTGCTAGTGAGAGAAAATCGAGACGAGGGATAATCCCTACCCCCGAGTTTTACCAGAACGTTCTGTCGAGAGACCCCACACTCCCCAGATACCAGATTGGCATCCATGCCTTTCTGGACAGGGTGGCCCGCCACAAGGACCCCAGGAATTGCGACTCGCCGCTTTCCTCCTCCCGCTGTGAGATTCTGAGAGAGAGATTTTTAGCAATACCAAACAACTCTAACACTCACACGTAATTTGGGGCCTGGAGCCCTGTTCACGCGCGCAGATTCTGTGTGAGCTCTGTGTCTTGATTTGCCAACAACAAAACCTAAACCAAAACGTTCTGTCCTCCTCCCTCCCCTTTGCCGCCCCCCCAAAAGACAACGGTTCTCCGCGGCATCAGCCAAGTCGGGCTCGATCTGGCAGCCAGCCACTGCAAGGAACTACCTTGCAATCGCTGAGTAACCGTGACCATTCCCCGAGATGACGTCGTGCTGTAACTCAAATCGTCCCCCAGCATTTCTCGTCGGAGATGACGTCGGTGCCCCAGACCTGGCATTTCTTTTCCGTAAGCCCGACCTACAATTAGAGTGATGAGCTGAGCTGAGCTGAGGTGTGTGCAATGAGCACGACTGCAATGGGGTGGGTCGATGGGGTGTGCGAGTGCGCGAGATGGGAGAGGGGGGCACCACCGCACTCTCTGGAGTGAGGAGAGGGGGCGGGCGTGTCTATAGAGTGGCGGCAAGGCTCGCGCACGCCGATCATGCGCGCGCATGATGGCCAGCTTCTAGGCGGGCTGCTCTCGGGGACATCCAGGGTCCTTGTGCGGCGGAGCGGGGCTGCGGGGGGGGGGAGGCACCGACGAGGTCAGCATGTTTGCCTTGGACAGCTCCCCACCGACGAAGCCACCGACCATCGCCAGCAGGAAGAAGGCGAAGATCTGGAGGACCCCCTTGCCGCGCGGGACTTGCTCGTTGGCGATCATGGATCCTGCTCGGTGCCGAACCTGCGCATATGAACGGTACATTGAGATGTATGTGGCGGCATGAGCAGCATGCTTGGGGGTGGGATCACGCGAGGATTATGTTGGCCCTGCGCTGCCGCGCGCGGGCACCCCCCGCAGTCAGACGCGGACGCGGGGCGCACCGCAGTCAGGGAGGGATGGGACTCTCGGGCTGCCTGGTACCTCCCGGTATCTCCCGGTATCCCGCCATATCCCGCCATATCCCGCCGCGGATACCGCGAAAAAAATCGTCCACACCAGGGATTCCCGCGGCGCCAAAGCGGCGTGCGCGCGGCGTCAAGGCCAGCCGCGCGCGCCGGCTCGAGAACTTCCGGCAGCACAAGGCTGCGGCACCTGCGGCTGCTCCTGCGATCAAGTGGGAGCAGCTCGCCCACGGCCTCTTTGCGTCAGCAACGCGCGACTCTGCGCGACGGCACGCGAGCGGCCTGGGTGCGCATGCGCGCCGCCCGCGCGAAGATCGGCGCGGCGATGCGGGACGCGTGGAGGTGTAGGTCTGCTCTCTGCTCGCGCGTCACCTCGAGTCCCTTCCCACTGCTTGATCCAACCCTTGGCCCTCTGATGTCCAGTGCACATGTACTCTTGGTGTGTTCTCTGGGCCCTCCTTGTCTCTGCAATAGACCGTGTGAGGCAACACCCACCCACCTACATGGACATGCACTCGAGTGCATGGACATGTAAAAGAAAGAAAGAAAACAGACAACCCAAGGGAGGGATGGGAGGACGGTACGCCGCCACCACACAGGGATTTTAGGGGAGAAGTGTGGTGTTAGCCGTCGCCTACCCTCGGGCGTCTACCACTTCCTATCTCTCTTCTCCCTCTCCTGCGAACCTTAATTCTTTTTCGGCCGAGAGACGAATTCCTCATGTACTGCCTCAACGCGCTGCGACGCCTAGTCTCGCTGTGCTGCCTCGCCGCATGCGTTGCAGCGAGCGACGAGACATGCGAGGCGCCCATGACGCTCTCGTCATTTGCGCACGCGCTTAACAAAAAGTTCATCGCCAAGGTGGGCGAGGGCCGCGCGAGAGAGTTCCGCCCCGAGCTGCTTCCGGCACGGGTTGCGGATAGTAGCCTCGAGTTGCACCTCGTGGAGCCCTCGAGTGAGCGCTTCTTCACCTACGTGTCGGACAACGGGTGGAACAACCAGCTCCTCAACCTGCTCTGCGGGCTCGACATGGCGCGCTCACTCAACCGGACGCTCATCGTGCCGCCCCTCGTTCTGCGTGGCCTCCGCGACAGGAGCCGTCTCGGACCCTTTGTGGAGCCTTCCCATAGGTGCCGCCGTTTTCGTGGCCTCGGCGGCGCGGGCCCGCCAAGGTGAGGCGCCTCGCCGCCGCCGTTCCCTCTCGCTCTCCTCTCCTGCCGCCTCTGTCCTCCACCCACCAACGCCAATGCACCGCCAGCCTTGTGCCGCCAGCCTTGTACCGCCAGCCCTTTGCCGCCAGCCCTGCACCGCCCTTACCGCCCTGCACCACCAGCTGCCATGTGGCTTGTGCATGTACCGCCCTGCACCGCTAGCCCTGCCATGCGCCGCCGCCGACCCGCCGCCAAGGTGAGCGTCTGCCGGCTGGTCGACGCGGCGAGGCTGGCGGCGGTGCGCGGCGGCGCGGCTCGTGCGGCGAGGACGAGCCTTCCCTGAACCTTCTCGGAACCTTCCTGTAGGTGCGCGGCGTGCGGCTCGTGTGCGAGGAAGAGGACGGCGGCGCGCTCGGCTCTGCGGGAGGCAGCCGGCCTGAGCCTTCTCGGAGCCTCCCTGCAGGACGAGCACGGAGGGGTGCTCGGATCGCTCGGCGCGCTCGGCGTGGCGGCCGAGCACATCTCGGGCGAGGGGCAGCCGCACCGCAAGCGAAAGGTGCATCGTTGGTCGCGCGAGGGTGAGCCCCGCCACCCCCCCCCCTGACGAAGCCTCGGTCAGCTTCGGTGCAAGCTCGGTCGCTCCTGCATATAGGATGGGTGGGGCGGTGGGGAGCCTCCTCCGCCCCGCTGCTCGCCGTGAGCCGCTGCCTCTGTTGGACGTGGCACCTGCCCGGAGCCCTCCCTGAGCCTTCTCGGAGCCTTCCTACAGGTGAGCTGCTGCCTCTTTTGGACGTGGCGCCTGCCCGACGAGGCTGCGAGCACCCGACCACCACACCCGCTCCTGACACATGCAGCACACCTGTCCCCTGTGTTGTGCACTGCACCCGCCCTCGCACTCACCGCATGCGAGTGCCGAGCTCGTGACCCTCTTCTCGCACCTCCTCCATGCACCGCCGCCCACCCGAGCGAGGCGCGCCGGCAGCCACGCGCGGGCTTGGCTGCGAACAGGTTGCCTTCGAGCTGTACTCCCACTTCGAGTACCACCCAGCGCTTGTGCGCGCGGCCCGCGCCGCGGTCGCCCCAGCCACCTTCCGCCGAGCAGCGTCCTGCAGGAGCCTGCCCTTCAGAGCCTTTTTCGGAGCTGTCCTGTAGGTACCGGCTCCTCTTCGAGACGGCCTCTCGGAACCTTCTCGGAACCTTCTCGGAGCTGTCCTGTAGGCCGCCCCGCTCGGCGACGAGTACGCGGCGATGCATGTCCGGCGCGGCGACAAGGTGGGGCGCGCACCTCGCCCAGCCGCTGCCCGAGGCGCGGCGGCGGTGCGAGTCTTCGGCTGCAGAGGGGGCACTTGGCTGTAAGGTGAGCGTGGACCTTCTCGGATCCTTCTCGGATCCTTCCCGGATCCTTCTCGGAACCTTCTCGGAACCTTCTCATAACTTGGCTGTTAGGTGAGCGTCGATGTCGCCTACCGCGACAGTTTCCCGAGGATGGGCCCTGACTACTTTTTGCGGCCCGCAGCCCACCAGATGCGGAACACGTGCCCTTGCACTCTGCGCGCATTCGGCGGTAATCCGCCGCGGGCAGTCTCGACTGTGATCGAGGCTCGCGAGCTCCCGCGAGACGCACGTCGTGAGGGCCGTGTGTCCCATACTCTAGGCTCGCAGCGCGTGAGGGGCTCCCCGCCGGCGCGAAGCGTCCTGGCGCGGGCACGAGCTGTGAGCAGCGCCCTCCACAGCCCGGGCCCCGAGTAGGCGCGACGGTCTTCGTGGCGACCGACGAGCTGGACCGCGCCTGGTTCGCGCCGCTGCGCGAGCAGGGCGGCTCTGCCCTCCGCCGACCACGCGGTGTGTGAGCGGCGTCGCTTCACGGCCAGCGTTGCGAGTCAGGTTTCGGGCTCCGCTTCGCCGACGACCTCGACCGGGCGCCGCTCCTCGAGGCGCTCTCTTCCTTCCCGCAGGCCGTGCGTATGACTGCCGCAGCTGCTACCGCCACCACTACTCCGATTCGCCCCCCCCCCTGCCCCCTCTCCCTCACAGGCCGTGTGGGCAGACGTGCTCGCCATCCTCGAGCAGGTCGTCTGCGCGGGCGCACCCTCGGGATTCGTCGGCTCGCTCCCCTCCTCGCGCTCGTCGGGTCCCACCCAGTTGGCCTATGATTGAGTACCGGTCAACTGCCAATACAGGCTCGCTCCCCTCCACGCTGAGCGGCCACGTCGTCAACGTGCGCGCGGTGGCGAGGCACGCGGCCGCCGCATCCGGCGCGGCCGGCGGCGCGCCCCGGCCGCTCCTCTTCACAAAGCTGCACGAGAGCTGCTGCGACGCGAGGACGGAGCAGGATTGGGTGCGTGGCGGCCTCGTGGGTGATGGGGAGCCGCTGCCGTGCGTGGCGCGGGAGCCGTGGTGCTGACGCATAGAACCTTAGAAGATATGTACAATGTACACGCGGCTACACGGCGTACCGGCTACGGCGTACCGGCTACGGCTACGGCGGTACGGGCTGCCCCCAGACAAGCAGATCGCGCAAGCTCTCTTCCCACTCACACGACAACTCTTGTGCACACTCAGAGAGACAAAACCCCTTTCAGACATGGGACAACCAGCTAGATGGCGCAAGCATTTCTCACAGACCGGAGTCTATGCGTTCCTGTTCATGGTGCGCTCTTTTGGTCCGCGCGGCCCGGACCCTTCAGGCAAGAAGATCCCGCAAAGCCTGCCCTTGCCTCTGGACAGCTGCATCGCCCGGGTGCGCCTGCACAGCCCCTACCGCCGCCTCGGTCGCGCCCGCGATCACAGCTCGCTGCCTCCGCGCCATCGCTGCGGCGTCGCTGCCGACGCACACGCTGGCCACCGCCCAGCAACCATATTGCTGCACACCCGCCACCTGCGGGTGCGCCCGCAACGCCGCCACACTCACCTCGATGCCGCCCGCGTCTGCTGCGCGCTGCCTGCGTGCGAACGCTGCGGCGTCGCTGCCGCAGCACACGCCGGCCACCGCCCAGCAGCTAAACTGCTGCACACCCGCCACCTGCGGGTGCGCCTGCATCGCCGCCACAACCGCCTCGATACCGCCCGCGTCTGCTGCGCGCTGCCTGCGTGCGAACGCTGCGGCGTCGCTGCCGGCGCACACGTTGACCAGCGCCCAGCAGCCATACCTCTGCACGTCCGCCGCCACCCGCGGGTGCGCCCGCAACGCCGCCACAATCACCTCGATGCCGCCCGCAATCACAGCTCGCTGCCTCCGCGCCCGCGCTGCGGCGTCGCTGCCGGAGCACACGTTGGCCATCGCCCGGCAGCCATACTGCTGCACGTCCGCCACCTGCGGGTGCGCCTGCATCGCCGCCACGATCGCCTCGATCGCGCCCGCGTCTGCTGCGCGCTGCTTGCGTGCAAGCCCTGCGGCGTCGCTGCCGGAGCACACGTTGGCCATCGCCCGGCAGCCATACTGCTGCACACCCGCCACCTGCGGGTGCGCCTGCATCGCCGCCACGATCGCCTCGATCGCGCCCGCGTCTGCTGCGCGCTGCCTGCGTGCGAACGATGCGGCGTCGCTGCCGACGCACACGTTGGCCATCGCCCAGCAGCCATACTGCTGCACACCCGCCACCTGCGGGTGCACCTGCAGCGCCGCTACGATCGCCTCGATTGCGCCAGCGTCCGCACCAGCTTGCCTTGTCTGCACCTCATTGCACAGATCAACCAACCGCACGCAAGCCGCAAGCGCGACGCGACTGACCGACCCGTGCGCCCGTAGCGCCGCCACCGCCGCCGCCATGCCCATCGCCCGCACCTCCGCATCGCTCGGTGGCGCAGCGGCGGGGACATGAGCAGCAGAGCCGCTGCCGCTGCCGCTGCCGCTGCCGCTGCTGGAGCCGCCGCCGCCGCCGCCGCCGCCGCCGCCGCCGCCGCTCAGCGCAGCGTGGCGCTGCCGCTTGGGTGCCGGGCCGGCGCTCGCACTCCCCTCGGCTGAGTTGTTCTGCACGGCCGCCACAACCTCGGCCCCCATCTCCATCTCGACCTCGATCACGTACGCCGGGTACATCTGGCGCGACTCGTACACAACGTGTACGATGGAGGCGTCGCACCCGTTCTCGCCCCCGCCGGAGACGAAGGGGCGGTGCGGCCCGCCGCGCACGCTGTCGTAGAGCAGTCGGGGAGGGCCCTCGACGCGCACGTCCGGCATGCACATCGCCCTTGTCTCCGCGCTGATGCACTGCCCCATCTCCTGCTGCGAGCCGAGGGCGGCCTTCACGATGAGCAGCTGCACGCGGCGCCCGCCCGAGCCGGAGATGCGGTGCGCGTACCGGCCGCCGATCGGGTAGGACGGGTCCTCCGCGAGGTAAATGCCCTTGCCGTAAAAGCCGCCGTTCGAGAAGCGCGGGTCGAGCCCGTTCTGATGCGCGAGCACATCCTCCGCCGCCCGCTCCGCCGTGCCGTGGAAGAGGAGCATCTCGTTGACGTCGCCGCCGTCGCAACTGTGGACGAGCTCCTCGTCGCGGTGGTTGGAGTACGCGCGCCACAGCTTCTTGTTCTGCACGCGCTGCACGCGGCTCAGCCTTGCGCTCGGGCAGCTCTTCGCGAGCAGTGTCTTGATGAGGAGCGCCTCGTTGCTCTGCATCGAGAGCTGGACGAGCTTCGAATCGGTCGGGCCGCCGTCGCCGCCGCCGGGGCCCCACTCGTCGGGGAACGTCATCGGAAACGGGCAACAGCGGCGAGCGCAGCTGCGAGCGCTTCCTTTTCGTTTATCGAGTTTTACCTATGAGGCAGTTTCTTTCTTCCTCTGTCGCTCGCAAAGTTCTCAAAGGATTCCTAGGTGTACTGTGTTTGTGCCAGTACACAAAAAGAAAACGGTCGACTTCATCTCGTCTGTGGTGTGCGCCCAGCTCTTCCCCGATGAGCTCACTGAAGGTGCAGCTCACGCAGGCCGCCGCGCCGTCGCCGCCGAGCATCAGCTTCGTCGAGCGTTACAAGGTCGCAGTCGAGGCACGCATCAACCTGAAGCACGTCCATCGGCGGCTGCAGGCGCCGCGCCTCTGCCGCCTCTCGGCCACCGCGGCAGCGAGTTTACTGCCTCCGTCTCGGTCAGGTGGTTGCCAAGCTTCTGATCGTCGCGACCTTTGTCGAGGACGCGCTGCGCATGCTCTTCAAGTTTGACCAGCAGCAGCAGTCGATGGAGATCGCCGGGTGGACCTCTCCCGCGCTGCACACGCTGCTGCCGCTGATGTCGCTCGCCGTGCAGTCGTGCGGCGCGCTGCTCGTGCTGGCGTCTTCGGGCGTGGGCGGAGAGGTGGGCTGCTACCTGCTGCTCGGCTGGTGCGTGTGGCACCCCTTCATGTACGGCCAGGCCGGCAACCGCGAGTTTGTGCTCGAGACGGCGACCATCTCCGGCGGGCTGCTGATCCTGCTGTCGCACCTGCTGCTGCTGCGAACAAAGGCGCCGCTGCTGGGCGAGTCTGGGCCGGGCGCGGTGGGCACGCCCGCCCGGGTGCAGGCGGTTGGCCGCGTCCTCCTCGTCTCCTTCTTCCTCTCCTTCGCCCTCTCCCTGGCGCACGCCTGGGCTGTCTCCCTCCCGCTCGGCGCGGGGGACGGGCCGGGTGTCTGGGGGCGCGGGACGCAGGCGGCGCTGCCCGCCGATTCCTCCGCCCCACCCCACCCCACCCCACCCCACCCCGTGCTTTCTCTTCTCTCGCCCCTCCCCCCTCCCCCAGGCGGTTGAGCTCGTCCTCTCTCTGCTCGTCCTCTCCCTCTGCGGTCTCGTCGTGCTCGGGATGAAGTCGCGGCACGTGGCCCTGCTGCTCGCCGCCGCCGTCTTCGCGGCCGCCGTCTCCGTCACCGCGGCGAACGTGGTCACCCTCCTACTCCACTCCTCCGACACCTTCCCTGTCGAGGACACGGCTGGCATGGAGGGAGTCGAGGCGGACGCGGCGACGATCGCCGACCACCACCGCTACTTCTTCTTCCAGTCCATGTCCACCGTCGGCGCGCTCCTCCTCCTCGTCGTGCACGGGCCCGGCGCCCTCTCGGTCGACGAGCAGGACGGTCCGTGCAACGAGAGTCGGGCCACCCGCAGAAGGAGGGGGCAGCTCCACCGCGGCGCCTCTGAGGCCCTCCTTGCGACGCGTGTGCACCGCAGGTCCGATCAAGATCGCGTCCGAGAAGGCGGAGGCCTGAGGCGCGGCACGGCATGCTTGCGGAGCGGCGCGTGATGATGAGAGGCGGCTGGCCGCTGACCGCCTCGTGGACGTGCGCGCTGTCGAGGCTGTTGCCTCGAGGCTGTTGCGCAACACGACTTGCAACACGCAGCTGTCATATTATGATGCGCGCAGCCGGCGGCTTGATTGGCAGATATGAGCGGGATCGAGTTGTGATCTTGCGCGGCCCCAAAGCTTCCCGCACGCACCGCCGCACCGACCCGAGGCATGCGCCGATCTCGCTCGGGTCGCCCGCTCGGCGCACCACTCTGTGTACAACCTGTGTCTGTGGCGCTCTAAAGCCGTATCGGCCCCAGCCTCCCACACTGACACTCAAAATTCATTCAATTAGCACATATGTCTCGAGACTCGTCACTCGAGTGTTTTAGAGCCGGATTCTCTCAAACTCGCAAGTCATTCTCGCCGAGCTCCATCGGCTCGAGTTCAGTTTTTACGGATTGCGCACTTGCTCTTGAGACATGAGAGAGATTCTCACGGCTCACGGCTGCTGACGAAGAGGATACGCGAATGCGACTGGGATCGGCCTTGTCAGCTGTGCGGTTGGCTGGCGGGGCTGATGGTGAGGCCGGTGGGCTTGATGCTGAGCCTCATTGGGAGCCACGCCCATGCTGGCGAGCGCCCTCGACTCGTATCTTCCGATCCACTTGCGCAGCTGCGGGGGGGTGGGGGGGTGAAAAGAGGCGCGTATGGAGGGACGCCTTGGCGAAGCTAAACACTATGCACACCTGGCACGGCTCGATGCCAGGATAGCAGGCGCACGTCGGTTTGATGCGGGCTTCCGGCGGGCGTTTAAGCGCGGCAATCACAACTTCAATCTTGAAGTCTTCAGTGTGATGAGCGCGCCGCCGTTGGGGCGCATGTGGCACGGCGGCAGCGGACGGAGGCCGCGACGGCAGGGCGACAATACCGTCGCCTGTTGATATTGCAGCGGACGGCGAGAAGGTCGAAGGCGGCAGCGTTGAGGCGAGCTCGGAGAGAAAGGCGCTCTCATCAGCTGTTGAGGCGCCTGCAAGAGGCTGCGGCTGCTGCAATGCAGCAGTGGGCGGAAGCGGGCGGATGAGACGGCGCTCCACGTGCTCCTCCGTCTCTTCGTCATCGTACTGTATGTCGATGACCCTCACTCCCTCGCGGAGCAGCGGCGGCGGCGGCTGCGGCGGCTGTATTGCTGGCTGCGGCGGCTGCGGCAGTGCCGGCTGCGGCAATGATGACTGCACCTCGCTGCCCTCCGACACCTCCACCTCCACCTCGTCACCCTCGACAGCCAAATAGCCCGGCGAGGCGGTAGAGGAAGAGCCTGCGTCGGCGCTGTTGGCGCTCGATCGCCGCTTTGGCGGAGGTTCGTCGGTCGCTGGCTCTCGCGGGCGGCCGCTCGTCGAGCTGCTGGCCTCGTCTGCAGCGCCCGCCGATGCATCAACCAGATCGGCAGCGTCCAGCAGCGCGTCAAGCCCTTCTCGCTCGCTGCCTCCGTTGAGCATCCGCCATCTCTGCCGGCAATCCTCCGGGGAGCGCCCTGGGATGGCGGATGCGATCAGCTCCCACAGCCGCGCCTCTGGGATCCCATCGGCGGCCATGGCCCTGCGGAACCTGGGCACGAGAGTCTGCAGACGCTCATCCGCGCCCCCCAGAACGCGCCCTGTCGCGTTTTTTGATCTCCCCTCCTTCGATCTTTTGCTGCAGATTCCGAATCTGAAGGCTGAAGCTGCAGACCCTCCAGGTCGCTCGAGGCTGGACCAACTGCCGGAGTTGGACGCAAGAAGGAAACTTCGCCCCCTCCCCCCCCGGGGGGGGGGGGGGGGGCTTCCTCCCTTGGGTTATTTATCGGCTCCTAGAATGGGGTCTTTCATCGCAGGACGCAGCGCAACCAAATCTCGCAGCGCACTCGCCATCTATCTGCGAGCCTAGCGCAGCGCGAACTCGCCGTCTGAGCCTAGCGCAGCGCGAACTAGCTCTGAGCCTAGCGCAGCGCCTCGGACATCACGAAGAAAGAAAGAAAACAGGCAACCCAAGGGAGGGATGGGAGGACGGTACGCCGCCACCACACAGGGATTTTAGGGGAGAAGTGTGGTGTTAGCCGTCGCCCACCCTCGGGCGTCTACCACTTCCTATCTCTCTCCGCAGTTTATCACCAATTCTTGCAGCGACCTCGGACATCACCATTTTGGCTCGCGTGCCGTCGTAATACTTTTCTGACGCGGTCGGCCCGCAGATAAGGTTGCGTCCGGCAGGGACCGACCCGGCCACGCGTGGGGAGAGTTATGGAGGCGCTCGAGGGCGCGCCCGAGCTGCTCGACCTCATCCTTTCGGCGCTGCAGCTCCGCGATCTGCTGCCGGTGCGGCTCGCCTCCCGCGCTCTTCACGCGCGCATCCAATGGCGCTTCTTGCCCGTCGTCGGCTTCGAGCACCAGGACTTTGACACGACAGACATTGAGAGCGTCGACAGCGTCACGGTGCATAATCAGATCCGGAATTTCGCAGCGTACTTGCGCTGGCTGCGCCGGTGGTGGCGCATCTGGGACGAGGCGCACGTGCGGCAGCACGGCGTGATGGTCAAGCGAGTGAGATCAAAGCTCTTGGAGCTGCGCGGCATGTCTGACGCATCCGACGGTTACTACTCGCTCGCTCCGTGGTGGCGCGCGTACGGCGAGGTGGTGGCGGTGCCCTGGCAGCCCGAGCGCTGGCTGCAAGAGGCGCTCGTCGACAACGACGCGCGCCCGGGCGGCCCGCGGAATGCGCCGCGTGCTTCGCGCGGCGCGTTCCGCCTCTTCTACCAGAGGCGCGAGCGCGACGCGGAGGACGGCTTCCGCACCTTCTACACGACGCCCGCCGAGGCGTGGGCCTTCCGCACGCGCACCGACGCGGCACCACGCACGCGGCGCATCGTGCTCGCGCCGCTCGACATTGTGAGCACGAAGAAGGCGGACGCGTCCATGCCGCTGCTCAACGAGACGATGCTCGCCGCGCTGCAGACCGTCCACGAACTCATCACGTGCCTTCTGCCGGGCTGCCGCGTGAGCATTGACTCGAAGCGGGAGCTGCGCGTGAGCAACGGCAGGCTGACGCGGTCGGACGCGCAGGGCGCGCGGCGCGCAGACGGCCGGCTCGTGCGGCAGCTCTCGAGCGACGCCTTCCGCGGCGCGCGCCTGCCCATCGACGAGGCCGTCGATGCGGACCTGCGCGCCGCAGGGAGAGAGCGCAAGTTGGAGGATGAGCCGTATATCGTCTTTGTGGTGGCGCCGCATCTGTATCCGGCGGGGCGCGTCGAGGGCAAGGACCTGGCCTGGGTGTACAGCACCGACGTGGGCGAGGACGACGACTGGGAGGAGGACGACCCGCGCATCGACGCGTGGGTCGTCTCGACGCACCAGGTGGAGAGCTTCGTGCCGCCGAGGATGCAGATCAAGGAGGTGTGCAAGGTGCTGCTGTACTGCGTGCTGCTCGAGGCGCTCGGGCTGCATATTTGCGAGAACTTGGACTGCGTGATGAACAACAACGACTCTGTTGGCGAGATGGAGAAGGTGCCGCTCCGGCTGTGCCCCACGTGCATGCGCAAGCTGCATCTCATGGGCGTGGTGGAGGACGTTCCGGCGACGCATTGCCGCGTGGCGAGCTTCTTGGCGGAGAAAGGGCTGTGATGTGGAGGCAGAAAAGAAAGAAAGGGGCGCGGCCGCCAGCACACGAGCAACTTGCCGGATTTTTTTCTTTTTCTCTTCGCAATGTCCTGGTAACCACGCTAGGTCTTGCTCTCGCCAGGCAAATGCACAATCTCTCGCTGCTGGTCCTATTTGCGAGCCTCACGGCCCGCGCGGCGCTCGTGGGACGGGCGCCTCTCCGCTCTCCCGCGGCAGCGACGCGGTTGTCGCGACTCGCGGGGCCGCCACTGCTGCAGCTTCCCGACATCGGCTCGCTGGTGAGCAAGCTGCGCGGCGAGCAATCGTCCGAGATTGCGCAGCTGGGCGCAGAGGACTCGGCGATGGGCGAGGTCAACACCGACGATCTCGAGTTCATCCCGCGCGTGCTCGTCATCGGTGCCACCGGGCGGACGGGCACGATCGTTGTGCGCAAGCTCGTGCTGCGCGGCTTCCGCGTGTCGGTGCTCGTGCGCTCGCTCTCCACCGAGACGCTCACGCGGCTCGGCAGCAACGTCCAGTACTCGTACGGCGACATCCTCGACTACCAGTCGCTGCTCGACGCGATGGAGGACGTCGACAAGGTCGTCTTTGCCGCCTCTGCGGGGATCACGGCGCAGGGCGACCCTGCGACCGAGGAGGCGGGGATCCGCAACATCCTGCGCGCGCTGCAGGACACGCGCACCTTCTCGTACGGCGCCGCCGAGGCGACCAAGCTCTCCCTCTTCAAGTTTCGCCGCGACGCAGCCCGCACGCCGGCAAGCTGCAGCACTGCACACGCGCGTCGCGCCTCACGCTCGAAGCTTTTTTTTGCTTCAGGCCGACTTTGATGCGTGGCAGCTGCAGCCCGCCGACGACGACCTCGGCGCGCGGCTCGCCGCCGCCGGCCTCTCCTCCGCGCGCAGGGCGGTGGCGTACTGGAAGCGATCGGACGCACACCCCAACGGCGCAGCGCGCTGTCGGCGAGAGTGCGCGGCGCGCGGCGGCGAGCTGTGACGGAGGGAGGGCGAGGTGTGCGTAGGCGTATTCGTCGGCACCGTGTACGACACGTACCTCGGCGCGGCGGTGGTGCAGTGCTCGTTCCTCGACGCAGCCGCCGCGAAAGGGGGAGGCGTCGCTGGCCGAAGAGTGCGGCTGGCTTGACTCGTGTCGACACTGACTGGAGTAGGCGCGGGGAGCTCGAAGAGAGGGGCCATCATTGTGAGTCTCATGGCGAGTGGTGGGGGTGAGGGTGAGGGTGAGGGTGACTAGGCGCCCGCACCGGAGCTCGAGGTCGAGGCATCCCTCGAGGCATCCCTCGGAGGAAGCCGGCGGCAACCACAACGGGGACCCATCCACACACCCTTCCCCGCACCCTTCCACACACCCTTCCACGGACCCTTCCACACACCCTTCCCGGACCCTTCCCGGACCCTTCCCGGACCCGTCCCGGACCCTTCCCGCGCAGGCGAGGGGGGGCGGGAGGCGGCGCGGGCGGCGGCCGACGGCGGGATCGCTGCGGTAGTGGACGATGTGGGGGCGCGGGCGGCGGCGGAGGCGGCGGCGGACGCGGCGGCGCGAGCGGCGGCGGCGGGCATGGACGCCGACGACGGCGAGGGCGAGGGCGAGGGCGAGGGCGAGGGCGAGGGCGAGGGGCGAGGGCGGGGGCTCTGGCGACGCGAGGCGTCTTGACGCGCGTTCTGTTGTGGGCAGGCGAGGCGGGGCTCGAGCTGGGCGAGTACTCGGGCTTGCTGCTCAAGGCCGAGATGCCGCCGAGATGCCGCCGAGATGCCGCCGAGATGCCGCCGAGATGCCGCCGAGATGCCGCCGAGATCTTAGCGAGAGCACGGGGGCGTGGCGTGCAGGCACAGCACGGCGCACGTGTCCAAGACATGTCCGAGACATGTGTCCCAGACATGCCCGTGACGTGTCCGAGACGTGTCCGAGACACGTCCCCAGGCGAGCGGCGACGGGCAGGTCTACACGATGGTGGTTCGGACGAGCGCGTACGAGCTGGACGGGCTAGAGTACAGGCGCCGAGATCGAGCCGAGATCGAGCCGAGATCGAGCTATCGAGCCGAGATCGAGCCGAGATCGAGCTATCGAGCCGAGATCGAGCCGAGATCGAGCTATCGAGCCGAGAGCGAGCCGAGAGCGAGACTGCCCCGAGATTGCCACGAGACTGGCCACGACTGGCCACGATTGGCCGAGATTCCCCGAGGCCGCACCGAGATCGCCCGAGACGGCCGAAGGAGCCGCCGCCGCCGCCCACGCGCGCAGGCACGACTTTCGGACGCGCGCAAAGGGCTTCACCACCGCCCGCCTGCCTTTCGCCGGCTTCGCGCCGTACCGCGACGGCAAGCCGGTCCAGGCGGGCGGCGCGGCGGCGCTGGGACCGGCGGTCTGCACGGCGCATCTCTTCACAGTCTCGAGGGTGTGTGTGGACAGGCGGGCGGCGCGCCGGAACTGGACCGGCGGTCGATCAGCGGGCTCGCGCTCGGCTTCTACCCGCAGCGGCAGGGCGTGCGCGTGGCCAAGGAGGGGGTGGGCCTCCCTTTCTACCTCTCGCTGGCGCGCGTTAAGGCCTACCGCGAGAGAGACGAGCCGGAGGTACTCCCTC